TGGGGACTCGGTGAGAAGCAATCACCAGAGGAGTCACTCCGTGTCAGATGAAAGACAGTTACCCACCGAAGACAATGGAAGATGGTCATGCAAAGTCGTGGATCGATTGAGGTCAGACATTAACACCGTTGAATCACAGCTGAGTGGTCTAAAGGTTAAGCATTTGCGCGTCATGGTTTCGGGGCCCACGTGTGGAGCCGTGTATGCTCACTGCAGAGAAGTCGTATAACATCTTGTGTTTCCAGGTTTTCAATGGTGGTCTAGCTTAGACCAGTTAGTTCATAAATCGTTTCATGCTAAATAAAAAGATGTCAACTGATTTGGTTATTTTGAAATGATGTTTTTACAGATATTTACTAAATTCAATTTTGCACCAATTTACTCATATATTTTTATAATTTTTTCGATTGTATGGGTTTGAATCGTACTGTTACTTATTTTAAGTACAGTAACTTTTTAGTCTATCCTACTGCATGTGGAATGGGTTCAGGAATAAACATTAATTCTGGGATAGCGATACATCCAAACAACTATCCCCAAAAAGAACGGAACGTGCTTCCTGTACTTAACTACTAGTCACTATCCAATTATACTTAAAAATTCCAGCTTTTTGCTTTTCTCACTTTCTGGTTGTCTGTTTATTTATCAAATTCAATGCCCAATAACATTTATCATCCATTTTGCTAGTAAACTACTTGAATACAAATGTAAAAACGTGTAAGACAAAATTTTAAATTATTTTTGATCAACGAAACTACAATACATTTCTGAAACAGATGAGAACGGTATGATAAGGAATTCTCCAAGCCAAATTTATTATTAACTTCTAAAAACTATCATAAATCTTTTGTCAGTCGAATTTCATTGTTCTGTTAATAAGTAGTGACAACAATTTGATGTCTGATAATATCACTTTTTTTCAAACACTTTTCCTACATATTTTTAAAATTCGTACATATTAAATGATTATTTCATGGTTGACTTCACAGATTGATCTTAGTAAAACAACTATTAGAAACCAATAAGCACGTAACATCTGTTTAGTTATAATATAAGGCTTGCCAGCATTACACACCCAGGACCCTATCTTCAACCGAACCCAAAACAGTCAAGTCTTTCGGAAAACGTTTAATTTTTTGATCACTAGTGAACATTTCTAACTTTTAACAATTTGTAATAATGAGTAATCCTCTTCCAATGTTTTTATTGCATCTGAGCTTGATCTTGGCACAATAACTGAAAAATCCGCAAATAGAATGACTTAATCAGGAATACGATGACGGTAGTTGGTGATTTGTTTGATGCTAAAAATTAATCAAAGATTAATATCTGAATATGTTAGTTTTTATCTTATCTACGCTGATTGACAGATGCATTTGTCAACATTAAACGGAGCAGCGTACACGTGTTACGTATGCCCAACGACCGACTACCTCGACGTGCTATGTTCAGTGGTATAGGAGTAGGTTGGAAGAAAGCTAGAGGCGGCCAAACCAAAACATGGCACAAGTCCATGAAGTCACTGACAAGTGGACTGAGTCATGTTGGTAGGTGTAGACTACTTGGTTAGGGACCACGAGATGATACCAACCGATGGTTAGAGACCCTAAATGACATGGCTTAAAATCGTTTGCAATGGCGCAGGTGCATCCACTCTTTGTGTTCTCTCAAATTCTAATCTTCTGAATTCTCCATGTCACTTTTTTCATTTTTCCAAATTTATTTCACTGTATTATACTCTTTAAATAACATCTCCAAACCCTAATCTTCCCTATTACTGCTTATACTCTTGCTACCTCTACCACAACGGGATTCGAATCGACAACTGCATCTCTGTGCCAATGTGGTGTGGCAACTCGAACTGATGTACGTACGTACGTACGAAGTTCTACGGTGTTACTGACTGACTGACTGACTGACTGACAAACGGAGCAGCACTTGACACCAGTATATAAAATATCATAAAATTGAACGTTTTAGACTAACAGGTACATTTAATAATGATAACTCTTTCCTGAAATGTCATTATATATCGCAGACTATTGGGGAAAGGAAAGAACATCACAAGCTACTGATACTGCAGTCAGTTAGACTGTCGATGACCACATCAGTTGTTGGTAACTAAATGCCACACACTTGACTGAACTCAACAAGTCACGGTTTATCACCTGCACTTCGGGAATTACCACTCAAGGTTAGACATTAGTAAGCTTTTGGTAATTTTTAGTATATGGGTGGATTGGAAAATTGTTTGCGATTCATCCCACCACCTTCGAAAAAAATTGATTCACAGTGAAGATCATTATGTATAAGCTGACTTTACTGTGCTTGTACCCACATCAGTTAATTATCATCAAGTTACATTCTAGTTCTTGAATAATTTTTGTTTATTTGGTCAAACATTTCGTTACTTAAACATTGGAAATTGACTACTTTGAAGGGGGAAGCGCTTATATGTCTATCAAAACATTTTTTTCTAAATATTAGTGTTTTATGGTAATGAAGAACATTTGTGGCTCAGTAGGTGTGTTTCGGATGCGTTATGTTATTTGAAAAGAATAGTTTGGTTTTAAAGTCTTGGTTGCCTTTCTTAAAAAAATCAGTGGCTACAATTTCCGAGAGGACAATCCTACTCTACAAGAGAGTGTCTCAGAAGTCATAAGCAAATCATTTTCAAAGTATAACATTCAGGTCACTCATCAATAAACCGATATGTCAACGTCGATCCAATTTATTAGCCAACAAGATAAAGTATGAAAAATTCAAAGGTCAGTGATATGATTTAAGGGGGAACCAATCACATTCAAGATATAAAGAATGGCAACTTAATTATGGAAAACAATCATTCAAATTTCAAGTCAATAAAACGAGCTTTCGGCTGGCTGTGGAAAACTTCGAATAATTCACTGCTTCTAGAAGTATTTCCTAATGATATTGTATAAGATGATAATGCAAACATCACAGACCAACCAGATCACAGAGCGCAACATCTCTAAAAAATGCTTGTATTTGTATCCCTGCTTATAATAATAAGTAATTCAATCAAATCTTTTACTATTGTCGTTACAGTTATGAATTAACTAAGTAAGAATCCAAAAGATTATTCTTATGAATTAAGATTTTTCTAAATGAACAATTTAATCCTAAACAAGCCTTTTAATGGTAAATCCATGCTCCTAAAGTTCTAGGTAATTAACAATTATTCAACATGTGAGTTTCTATACTTTTAAAGTTCATTAAGAAAAATTTAGCATTCAACCTTGAGGAGGTATTGTGTTATGCAGCGTCCGAAATCTGATACCGATACATGATGTGATACTTGCTAACCCTCCAAATGACTACTCGAGTGAGAACACAAGAGTGAACGAGAAAGTGTATCGGACTTCTGAATTGAATGTACAAATACTCATTCATATATATACCACTCTATCCTTAGGGAATTGAATCATTGACACCAATGAAGTACTCTTAGCTTTTAGGTCACTTCTAATTGCCATCGACTGACCTTTGCTATTTCTGATTTACTCTACATATCAGAAATATTTTATGCTCCTTACAATTTTTGATAATATATTCAGTGAAAATATGTTAGTTTGAATATTAATTTTTCTAAAGTTGTAAGTACCTGATAATCGGTATAAAAATTCAAAATGAAATTAGTATTTTCAGTTGAAAATGAAGTATGTTTAGTATGAATAAAGTAAATTCATTGTTTCACATTGTGAAAAACTAATATCAGATAATTAGAACCTAACATTTTAACTGAATAATATAAATTTATTTAATTTTGTTAGATCCTCGTCAGTTGCTTTGTGGTGTGTGTTAATTATATCGACATAAGTAGTATATAACGCTAGTCAGGAATAGAATGTCTGACAGCAGAAAGTTAGGAAGATCAAGAAGGAAAGAACGGGAACAGAAAGTAATTGGTATAGAAATGCATGAATATTAAAGTATGAGATGATTGACTGATATTTGTAAAAGGAACAGTGATGTGTGGGCGAGAATGATAATGATTGGTTGTCTGCTTAATCAGACATGTAGATAGTCTGATAGGTGTTAAATGAGTTATATATTCCCTTATCCTTATTATTATTATTACTCACTTATTATTGATTGTTCATTGTTCTTGGATTGTGTCGGGTTTTTGGTGTGGAAATATATTTACGTTTTGGTCAGGCTAATCACATGTTCTTGATCTGAGTTGTGTTGAAGTCCCGTAGAATAGACACTGGGAGGCAATCTAGTGTAGATATTCGTCTAAGGTAAATTAACATCCCATATGTGTAAAATTGGAAGCCTGACCTTTATAACATTAGACGAAATAAAACCGAGTGTTATAACAAACAGTCAACTTTAAAGCAAGTGATTGAACCTAGTGAAATAATATGAATTCATATTCTAATAATCAAATAAATTATTTATGCTTTATTGCTTTCAAGATAATAAAGGGAAGGAACTATTGTTTTTTTATATATGTTGTTAAATGTTTACATTCACTATTATTCAAATACATTCCAACTAAGTATAATTCTATATCCATTACAATTATTACCTTTTTTCCTGAATTTTTATTCGGATTAGTTATATTATAAACCGGATTATTATAGGCGGCCCGCTTGAGTATCTGGACTACCTATTCCTGCCATCTAGATATTTCAACAAGTTATCTATTTTTGTTTGTTTTGATATATATCATTATGTCTATTAATCGCATAACCTATCCTGGTGCATTTCTGAAAAGTGTACAACTTTTCGTTGTCAAAGTTACAAAAAGCCCAATAAGAGATAATGTGGTCGCTGGCAATATGCAGCAAAAAGAATATACATTATTCAAATGTTCATTTACTGGACTGCTAACATCTAACTGGCGATCACTCAATATTTATCGTCAGGATCGACCAAGAAGTAAGAAACGGAAACTTGTTGAAATAGTTTATGCTGAGAATTCTATATTGTACCAAAAATATAATACTGAATAAAGCTTATAATAATAGTTATTATTATTATTTGTATTTAATAAAAATCAATAAAATAAATTATTTCATAGAAAATGTACTACAATTTCATGATATAAAACTGAGATGATGAATATTATTTAATTCATTGAATTGATAGAATCATAAGTGTTTTTTTACGTTAGAAATCAACATTGAATAATGAATGATCTGTGGAAAATAATGTGAATTTTTGTTGTCATAGCAACAAAATTGTGATTATATTTTTGTTGTAGAGACTGTTTGTGTATAGAAAATCAGACTTTTACTTGTATACACAATAATAAAGGTTAACAACATGGAAAGAAATAATCCTCTTATATAATAGTAATATAATAATATAGAACAATTAACTTTAAAACAAATTAATTATAAGAGGAAAATAAAAGAGATTTATAGTATTCAACTTGTCTAAATTATATTTTAATATATGTAATGATCAAATGGAATATCAGCATACCCTGTTAAATAGCTTTATCTGTTTTTAGCTTTTGAAAGATACCCACACACACACACACAAAAAGCATAAATACAAAGAGGTAACATAAATTATGTTTTATTACATCAATATGTAATAAACAAAACATAATATTATATAATTAACCTAACATGGAGACATGTAATCAAATAAACACACACACAGACACACATATACATACATGATACATATCTTACATTGCTTGTCTACTTTGTACAAATGTAAAATCATTTATACTAGATTTGTGTTGATGAGGATGATAAGTAAAGAAATTGGAATGTTTTAAGATATTACCATTAAGATTATTATTATTATTTCGTATTGTAGACCAAGTAGGTAAATTTACATATCTATCTAATTTATAATCATCAATTTGTTGATTATTGAATTCATGTTGTAATTTATTCTGACTAGTATAAGTTTCATTTTGATTTGAAGGAATTACATTGTCTATATATAAAGATGTTGATAAACTATCAATTTTATCATTTGTATATTGATCATTACGAATAGAAAATGAAGAAGGTATTATTGAATTCAATTCATTTCTATGATCATTTAAATACCCTGTATGATAGAATGAAATATTTTGTTGTAATTGATTTTGAGAATAATGATTATTTTCATAGTATCCTTGTTTCTCTAATTCATTAATTTTAACATTCTCTATTGATTGTAATAAATGTGGTTCATTTGTTAAAGTAGATTGTTCATGATGTTCAATATGATTGTTATATTCTTCAATATGTCTATGTTGTGTACAACGATAAATAAGAAAACCAAATGAACTGATTAAAATTAAACCTGTTAAAATTAAACAAATAAATAACCAAATATTTAATGATTTTGTAAATGTTATTATTGTTGGTTGAATTTCAGAATTAGGTAATAAATCATTTGAATATGATGATGATGATGATACAAGTGGTGATGGATTCCGTGAAAAATCGTCTTTGTTTATACATGATGAACATTTATTTCCATTTGTATTAGGTATATTGAAATCTGTAATAAAATCATTTGAAATTGAAAGTGGACTGAAGATTGAAGATGGAGATTTCGACAGTTGTAATGGTTTTTTTCTTTTTCGTAAATTGGATTTACTAAAAAAAATATTAGAATAAAAAAAAGTTAATTGAAGGTTCAGTGCTTGCTAAGAAAAATGAAGTTTCTAGGTTCGATTGCCAGTTAAGTCATAAATATGTAATGACTAGGAGTTTCACAGTAAGATCATAAAGCTTTCCACCACTTTCTGGTTTTTAATAGTTGTTTTACTAATATTACTTCTTGATGCTAACTATGAAAATCCAATTGCTAAACACTGGCAAGGTTAAGCTTCAAGTTTGACAGTATGTTCCAGCCGCTTATTCAAATAACTACTCCACAGGTTAGTTTGATGTGTTCTGAAATAATCATTTAATAGTTTTACAGTAATACTAAGTATTAAACAATTCCCAATAACAATATGATCGCTGTTCATCTTCTTTCACTCAATGGTGCTTTACTGGAACATTTTTGGCAAAAATTTGTAACTATGAGATTCAACGTTGAAAATTTGATTATATGAACCAATAAGCGTTTTTACTTATCAGTTTAGACGCATCGTACTTGTCGCAGAAGTTGAAGGTTATAGGTTAGATTTCAATTTGTTTGGTTGTAAGTGCAAGCCAAACCAATGGACCTAACATAATATTATTTACTGTATGCTTTCCAATGATTTCTCAACTGAAACTAATCCGTATTTAGAAATGCCTTTAAAGATATATGGGTTATCTTATAATTCCATTTCTTAACACAGTAAATAAGATTGGTTTAAATTTAGATTTAAAGATGGAGAATCACTGTTTAGACTATCTTCAACAAAGTAGTTTGCTTTTAAACTGCATTTCAAAGTGTTTTTTATTAGAAATAAAAGATCTATGTGTCGATTGTGAAAGCTCTGCGAGATATTTTACTTCTAAAAGTTACCATACTCTTTCATACATTGAGTATTAGTAGTAAATATTTAGTACATAAAAAACTACTGATATGAAAGTATAGTATGTAATATTGTATAATTTTGATTATTCTATACAGAGAAGAATATACTTACGTGTAAAATGGACTATTTGGTCCTAATTTTAATTGATATGTATTTGTATACTCTACTTCAGCGTATCGTGTAACTTTAACAAATGTCAGATGCTGTAAACCAGATGCAAGATCAATTAGCCGTAATCCATTGTAATAAACCCCTAAAATAAAAATGCAATCATAATGAGGAACAGAGAGGTCTTCTTCCATTCTCTTATGAAGTAAAAGGTACGGGTTTCGGGTCCCATTATGAAAATTTATGCACTCATATCAGATTGAAATGATAATCACTATTAAACTTAAAAAAAGCTTGACTAAACGACGATCTAGTCAGGATACACATATGTCAAGAGACACTGACCAACTTTTGTCATCAAACCCTTACAGATGACGGTATCATCCCTAAAAACGTTTTGTTCGATATCTTGCTCTATAAATTGTAGATAATTCAACTTATTCGTAATTAAAACATAGATTAATAACGAGGTATACTAATATATATGGTTAGTGGGAATTATAGGATTCTCATAGTTTGAATCACGTGCTGACATTAACTAGACCCTGAATCAAAACCAGGATTTTTGTCAAAACCTACGACTCTCCAGAGCCAGTCTGAAGTTTCAGGATCAATCTCAGGAGTGGTTATGAATCAGAACTTCTGAGGAGTTTCATACTAGGAAGAAAAGGCTGTCCACTCCTCCCTGGTTTTTAAAAGTGGTTTTGCTAGAATCAGTTTGTCACTTACACTATGAAAATGAAGTACTTTACGAATAAATGATTCTCTGAGAAAATTAAATTAAATGGAATTTTCATTATTTTTAATAGCTTACCACGATAGTGAATAGTGTTAAGAATATAAATATAGATCTGAAGCAGCCGTTTGATTGCTACAACTTATCGAATTTCAATTTCATTTGATTACCATGTATTAGTCACTTACACTAATTTTCAAATTATAATTGTTTCATGGATCCCAGAAAACAGTCAGTTACAATCTTATAGTCAATTATTATAAAGTTATATATAACACAAAAGTTGACTTTCACATTCAAAGACTTCAGTAAAGATAGTTTTTTCACAGATAGAATATCATAGAGAACTATAATAGCCTTTTCTTAATGCTATACACTACACAGCTACGCTCTGATGGACATTTTAAGAGATCATACGTGTTAAATGCCAAAATAATTTCAACTTTTATCTCCAAAAGAACGTTGAATGAATGGAACTGTTTTAGGAAAAGTGTTTTTTAAAGGAACATTACATTTCTATGGAATCTGAAATATAATAGATGCAAAAAAGGTAGATGGATAAAGATGCTGAAGTGTGTCTATGATAAAAAGAAGTTTTTCAATTTAAAACTAAGCAATATGGATTAGTATTGATATAAATTACAAGATTTGTTAATAAGTATTACGTTCGAAACATTATACTGTTAATTCCTAGTTTCAATTATTAGATTGTCCTAGTCTTACTCTCGCATTATTGCTATTCATTGTTGATTGCCTTCCTTCATAAATATAATTTCATTCCATATACTGAGTCGTCAGATCTCTCACATGTATTGCTTTTCACACTCTCCTCGGCACACAATATATATATTCAAGTCAGATATTGATCTACTAAATGCTGAACGTTCCAAATATATGCATAATAAAAACAATATGTATAATCACAGAAATAAACGAAATAAATTATATACCTGTTACATAACCTTGTATGAAATCCGAACAATTTGACAATGGTGAATGACCCAACCAAATAAAACGTGTTTTCAAAAGTGAAGTTAATTCATCTAAAGTATGTAATAAATAACTGGAAGATAGAAGTCTAAAAAAAATCGTTTTACTAATTAGAACCTCATCAACTAAAATGAACAAGAAACTGTTTTTTTAACTATTTGTTTTCTTAAAATATTTTGAGGTTATGGACATTTCAGATTTCTAGTATATCTATGAAAATGAGTACACTAGCTGATTATCGATTGGTAATTAATCTCATGTTTATTTAACCCTTGATAAGGATCTCAATCTAAATAACATGTACAATATGATCACCTGTTGAAATGACTAAACATTACTTGCACTGTATTTTGATGTTAAATGGATGAAAGTAGATGGCACGAAATATTTGACCAAGGTTTCATGTCGGTTCGCACTTATCATTAAGGAGCATATGCAATATTAAGTAAAGTAATGTCCTTTGTGAAATTCTGATCCCTACCAAGATGGTGAAAATACCTTGCTGGCAAGAACCAACTATCAAAAAACATAGGTTCCGGATTTTCTGACTACTGCCCCCAATCGTCTAACGTGTAAACAAGTTTCTTTGATTAGAAGTGATTTAAATAGTTTTTCTTTCTTGTACTGTTAATTTATTTACCAATATCTCAACATGAAATGAATTAGTTATTTTAGGAGTATTTCTATTTTTCGAACGTTATCAAATTCACTATACAATTTACAAGTACTTGATTCATTTTTTTGTATATCTTAAACAAAGGGAAAACCCCTTTTTATACTTTGTAATAGCTACATAAAATGTAATGATGCATAACTCAACGTGATGAAGTATTTTCATAGAACTATTTTTGTAATGTACAACTTCTTACACTTCACACTCGCAGTCCGCTTTGTTCACTTGAAAAGGAGTAAGAAGAAATAGTTAACTAATTAAGCGGCCCAATATCTGACTCCAGTTTGATCGTATAATTAACGTTGTCGACTTATACATGTCGGAAATCCTCGCATATAATTAAATTGCGTTAGTGAATAACAGAAGTTTGAAACTAGAGGACACTAGAAAGTGATGTTTCCGCAGATTCAAAAGTAACTCGATCTATAATTGCTAGGTAAGTAAACGCTAACTGGTCAGAGTTCGCACGAAATTTGAAACCAATGGTCGAAGACGTTATTTGAAATGGTTTAGAACCGATCACAATGGCTCACATGCAGTCACTTTTTGTTTCTCTTTAAATTTTGAGTTTTAAGACTATCTAGTAATTTCTGTTATCTTAATCCATTTTTTCTTTTCAAATCAAATGGTATATGACTAATCTCTGCTACTATCATCGGTACTATTGTGGTGTTTGCTACTGATGATGATAGATATAAATGGTATGTATCATCAATTGAAATTGAAATACCTGGAAGCAGAAGGTCACGAAGGTAGAAGAAAGAAGAACAATAACAGAGACCGATTGGTGTAGAAACTAAGGAACAATGAAGTCTGAGACGATTGACTGATATTTCGTAAATGATCTATTTTCTGAATGGTTCTCAGATTTTACTAAGAGATTTTGTAATTTTGTGCCCAAATACTTTCGATTGTCCCCACTTGTGTTCTCGTTCACTACACTATTACTATTTTTGCTACTCTCGTATTTGTGTTGATAGCTTCATTTCACTGTACTATTGTGACATAGCAACTTGAACCGGTGTAATTTCTTTGCAGGTACTTCTAATATGACTGAATAGCTGTCATTTTAGCATATTCCAACTTTCCTCTAATTGATATCAGTTTGCAAATAAATGATATTATAAAAAAGTAGATTCTTGTTATTTGGTTTATTATAATACTTTGAGGAACAACGGTAGTACATATAATCCTGTCAGTTCAAACTTAACTATACTATTTAATAAGTTATGTTATCTTCATTAACTTTTGTCTCACTGTTACGAGACATGATACTTCATACTAATATTATACGGTGTACAACTTTAGGTTGATTAAAACTAGAAACGTTAACAAATTTTTTACTTCAATAATCTTTCACTGAGATAGATTTAGCTGTTTCATAGTTTGCTACACTCATCTTAGTAGAACAACTACCAGAAACACACTGGACAGTTGTGTTGCCCTATTATTAGAATCCTCAGCAGTGTGGACCCAGAACCGTGATGGGGACCAAACCCAGGGCACTCATCTCTTCTGAAGAACACTCAAACTTTCAATCACTGAGCTGGTATCCATTGATTTAAATCTCTAACTTAAAGCAATCTTCAATACCACTCAGTGACAATGCAAATTATCCATCTATATTTCGTATGAAAATATATTTCTGTCGAAAATTCGTTTATTACAAATGAAAGAGTGCTGTAAAATGAAGTAATCCACTTCTCTTTTAATAACCCGATTGAACTGTAGACAATAGAATATTTTAAGAAAAATCAGTGATAGATAAATATTTAACCTACTGTACAAACGATAAACAGTTTGATATTGATCTACTTCAAGGAGAATCTGATTTCTGGATCTAATTCCCCGAATCCTATGATAATATCCATCTTGTACATTGATCTTTGGACCATCAATAACAATCATTGAACCATCCAATAAAAATTTCATTTTTAAATATCCTTGTTCCTGTAAGCATTAAATTAACTTTTTAATAAATATGGACTAATAATGGTCCTATACTACAAAATGAAATCGGAATTGATAAATACTGGAAAAATTAATACCTTAGTATTAGGTACATATTTTCTGGTGTTTAAATCATTCAACACTAAGTAAATGGAAATAGTCATGATAACGTATTGAAATCTGTTGTAGAATTATTGAGAGTTAGATTTACTTAAAATTTTTGGATTTCTTCCAATAAGCACAATACCTTAAATCACTGAGTAATGACCAATATCATGTTTGTCTAATCCCTAATGCAAGTTTGCCTTGATAAGTACCAAACAGCATGAAATCTAAAACTTTGATTTTTCCGACAACTATTTCCAGTCATCCAAAATCAAATCGATACGTCTAAGCCCCCATGTTATCTCTAAAACACCTATGAGTGAAATAAATTATGCTCAGAAGAAGTAAAACCATCGTGTTACGATGTCTAGAAGGATATAATAGATACCTAAGTGTATCCCCGGAACATAAGATCCCACCGTCTAAACTATTCACAAACAGCCTAGTCCATATTCTGACTGACATCGATAGATCCTGTGTCACCATTTGCAGGTCATTGTAAATCACTGATAAGAAGCGAAGGTTTCCAGTATTTCTTTCTGGATGAAAATAACAATACACTTGGAAAATCAACTTTGTATCTTACTGGAAGCATCACGGATTACATAATGTTAGTGTTTTATCAATACGTTAAAACATATTTTGTAAACAGGCACATTAAAAATACGTTTTTATCACACATACTACCTTGAGAGTTCTTAATAATTCAGTCTATCAAATGTAATCAAGCTATACAAAGATAATCATTCACTTACCAAATAGATATGAAGATAAGTCAAGTTATTTTGAAATTGATTTCCAGCAAATAACAAAGTGATAAAATCATTATCAATTGATTTCAACTTGTCAGTATGATGCAACCTTTTTATATCTAATTGTAGTCCAAAAGTGAATATATCATTTACGGTATATAAATCATTGTACTCAATTTCAAATTGTACAAATCCAGTATATTGTTTTGCATTAGTTAAAGTTTCATTAGAATTGAACATATAGGCACTGATTGAACCGATTTTACCAAAATGCAAAGTCGTACCAACTAGTTAAATATAATATTTTATTAAAAAAAGCCAGAAGAGTTAATTATTTGAATAAATGTACATAATTCAAGTTTACTTCTTAGTTTTACAAGTATGTTTGACATCACAGATTGATCTTAGTTAGACAACTATTGAAGATGAGAAGGTACTGGATAGTTGTTTCGTCCACTCCAAATTATAATAAGTATTAAAATTAGACATGTAAACGATTGGAAGCCATCTCAGTGATATTAGGCTTAAGCGCTTGCCAGATAGTCTGAACCAACCAACACGACCCAGCCCAGCAAAGAATGACGTCATAGACTGATGCCATAACTTGGTTCGGTCAGCTTCCCAGCTGTCATCTAACTTCTCCTACATTAAAAACAGAGCTTCGAGGTAGGCAATAGTTAGAGATATGTTAATCATGTTCCAATCACGTCAGTCAGTGAAATGTACCTTAAACGTTAACAACGCTTCAATATAAGAACCTTCTTTGTTTTTTTTGAAAGTTCAAGTATTCAACTTAATACCGCATGATCAGTTAAGCTAAATAAAACCACCTTTGTTTAAGAATTTCGGCTTAAACAAAAGACATCCTGGTATATGTCAATTACATTTATTGTAACTTACATAGGTATAACTAAATGAATAGAATTAGGTAGATCAGATAGATAAAAAAATATAAAACTTGAGTTAACCATAAAGACCGTCGATGAATTTAATTGTAAATAAAACATATTATTCTATCGATTTTTATACGACGATACTTTGATCTCATCAATTCATCCTTCAATTTAAATGACTTCAGTTTATTTGACATAATTTCTAGCATTAGTTTTGTTGAAATCATGAGTCAGTTGAAGCTAGACCACCATTGAAAACCTGGAAGCCTGGACGGCCGTTTCGTCCTGATATGGGACTCCTCAGCAGTGCGCATCCACGATCCCGCACCACACGGGGCTCGAACCCAGGACCTACTGGCTTCGCGCGCGAGCACTTAACCACTAGACCACTGAGCCGGCATCCAACGGTGTTAATGTCTAACTTCAACCAATCCACGAAGTTGCGCCACCGTACACCATTGGATGCGCACTGCTGAGGAGTCCCATATCAGGACGAAACGGCCGTCCAGTGCTTCCAGGTTTTCAATGGTGGTCTAGCTTCAACTGACTCATGATTTCAACCTGTGAAAATTTCTAAAATTCTCCACAAAACCCATTCTGACATTAGTTTTGTATTGTAGGAATTCAGTATAAGAGGGATTTATCTTAACATTTTAAACAACATATTTGTGAAAAGATTACTCTACATACATTCATTCTTCATCCTCCTTTACAACTTGAGTTTCAATAGTGTTCTAAAAAGTTGATTACTCTTTGAGACATATTCTTCATATTGAATAGTTTACTCAACTACAGACACTACTATTATGTTCATAATATATTTCCGTTGATAATGTTTTGCCAGTTTTAAGTGATCAGTGTTGATGCCATGTCTTACATTGTTTTAGACTGACAGACCGCCTTCTAAAGCTTGTACTTGACTACCAACAGGTTTAGTTCACTTGCTAAACGAATTCACTAAATTTTCAGTTTATTTTATTAAATTATGTTTATTTAATTCTATTGATAATGAAATGATTCAGATTATTCACAAGGTTATCAATATTCAATTAAAGAGTTGTATCTTGCACTTTCGAAATCTTGGAGTAAAATTTTTTTATACTAAAATCTTCATTTAAGGTATCTAGATTTATCCTCTACTGCCTGTAATTCACATATCGGTGTAGAGCAATCCAACAATTTGGATGAAGAACATTCATAAAAATTTGGGCTAGAAATGAAAATTCTAATAAAAATTACACTTTAACATCTGACACTCACTCATTAACTGTCAAAATTACTGGATGCAACACACTTATTGAATATTGAAAGTGTTAAAACTAATCTCAATCCATAAAATTTTTAAGTGAAATAAAATAGCTTTACCTTCGTTACACTGATGACCTTGAAACGTAGTCAAATCACAAGCACAATAAAATGTATTTAATTTGTCCAAACATTCTCCATCATTATAACACATATATACATTTCTCGAATCATCGCTAGATTCAAAATCATGAAGACTTGACTGAAATGGATAGATATTATTATTTCTATTTTGTGATAATGCACAACCAGAAGTCATTGATTCACATCCATATACTATATGATCATTACAATCAAGACTCGGATAAATTTTAGCCATTTGTAGAAGATTGATTGTTGGATGGTGATTCAATTGAAAATTGGCAATACAACCCTATGGCATTAATTTTTTTTATTGAACAAAAGTAAGATAACAATTAGCAAATATTAAAATTTGTAAATACTTATTTCGTAGTCGTAAACTTTATCTTCGTCAATAATTTCCATCAATAATACATTGTTGAATTTTAGACATTATCAAAAAGCATGACTACGGGGAGTTAGGCAAACGTACGAATCACAAATGTAAACCTCAGCTAAGCTGTCTGATGGTTAAGTGCTTAACGCGAGATCTGATTACCCTGGGTTCGACCCCTGCTGAGGAGTCCCATAACAGGACGAAACGGCCATCCAGTGCTTCCAGATTTTCCATGGTGGTCTAGCTATAATTGACTCATGACTTCAACTAGTGAAATTACTAAAATCTCCATGAAACTCCTTCTAGTAATTTCATATTTATCAAGTTCTGTGATATTGCATAAAATCATAAAAGTCATGAATTAACTTTAAATAGTTTAATTATATCAGTTACATATTTTTCAGATATTGACTAGTAATAAAGTTCGATGTCTGTTTGATTTTATCTAGAAATCGACAGTCGATATTTATTCTATGATTTATGCTTAACGCTTTCAACTTCAGTACACAATTTAGTAGGCTGAGTAGCCATGATAGCTACCAATTTATTCAACATAAATGATATTATTCAGCAGAATTAGATGGTGGCTAACAATGAAATCCAAGATAAGCTTTTCATCTTATTTAAGGCTCCTTAATTTGATGTATCTGATATCAAATTTATTATTGTTTATAAGAGTTCACACCTATATTCGAATAGTGATTATTAAAACCCCGTTTTAAATATATAAAACAATAAAACACCAACTGCAGTTAGAAGTCTACCTGAAGTGTATGCTGATGAAATCGTTCAGAAGAACATTGAAAGCTCCACGATCAAACCATTCAGTTTAAAGTACAAAACTTTATCAAAATAATCCACCTGAGCTACAAATCTTTTTCACCATCTCACAATAAAACACCAAACTATTACATAAGATTTATTATTTCAATTATATTTTAATTTCTATTACATACATATCTAAATAAACTTACTTGAAAGCCAAATGTAGATTTGATTTTACCTTGAAATTTCATAAAATCTGACATAGGACAACCACCAATATTGATTACATAATTTGAAAATGATTGTTTATAATTAAGCAATTCATTTAAATCTATATTAGTGAATGTTTCAATTGATGTTTGTGTATTTATTCGAATTGTCAATATGTCACTTACTTTATTCTCTCTGAAATTAATAAACAGAATTTAAAAAAACTGTTGTAATTTTTACATATAGAATTTTAGTGTAAAATTAATCTAATGCGGGCCCCAAGCTCGGATAAAGGAGGAGGGTTGGACATGGGGTTAACTACCCCATCCTGTAAGAAACTAACTCTCTAAAAAAACGCTAACCAGAAAAAAAGTAATTGTTATTTGAAATATGTACTTGACCTTAATATTATGGTTAGGTGAAAGCATACAGTTTAATAATTAAAGTTAACATTTTGATGAGAAGAATTATTCTCTTTTCTGCAGATACACATTATATATATGTGCAACAAATTACTTGCAAATTATTATTAATCTCCTTAGTTGAACATTTTATCATGAGACTATAATTTAGGAATGACCTTTAAGTGACGCCTTGGTGAACTTGAGCATGTCCACCTACTTACTAGGGCTAAATAAGGGTTTTAAAGTAGTGCGAAGATTTACAGCAGATCGTTAGGATTGGTCATCAGATTTGTAGTTGTCATCACGAACTGATATCGGCTAAAATACCAAGAAGTTAGACAAATGGGTGAATGTATTCCATGCCAAAATCCTAGATCGATTATTTCTAAATCTGTTTGGTTCGTCCATTTAATCTGAGTTGTCAATAGAATATTCTGGAAAAAACACCTATCTATTATTTTAGTCATTCATCTATTATTTATGTTATAGCTTGATAAATGAACACTTGATTCAATGGATTGGTTGATAATATTATCATTATTATTATTACTATTATTATTATCATTATTATTATTATTATTATTATTATTATTATTATTATAGTTAACAAATGAACATAATCGACCAAATTTCATGAAATAATTAATATATTGAATTAGATAAAAACACTCAAAATTCACCTGAAATTTATTACTTTACACATTTAAATAGAGCAGTAAGGCAATATTAATTACAAAATATATAATTAATTCATTGTGTAGTTAAATTCTATTCAACTACACACAACCTACTAAGTTTGATCAGTTTGAATCATTGACAAAATTTGAAATTCGAATGAGAAAGGTCTACTTATCTAACAATAGAGAGTTAGATGTATAGAATGTTCGACAACAGAACATATGGTAAATGTAACAAATACATTCAAATAATCAATAAACAATCTAAGTGTACAACAGCAGAACCCAGGACGCGCGCTTCGTCCTATTTGAGACTCTTCAGCAGAATGTACTTGAATCTCGGATTTGATGTTCATTCTGGCACTTGAACCCAGTACCATTCGCTTCAAACGATACTGCATTATCTACTCAGCTACTGACTCCTGATGGCCACTTGCTTGTGTAATGGGGTGAAGTTGAAATTCACCTGGTGTTGTTTTACTTACATATCCCTGTTGTTATTTAGGACTGCAATTGATCAGTCTCATATTGGCATATGTGCATCCTGTGCGGATTGCCTTGATATAGTCTTAAGTCGCAAGCTTTTTTAAGCAAAGATGGATAGTGTCTAGCAGTGTAATTCAGGACGCGTGTTTCGTCCTATTTTAGACTCGTTACCTGCATCCTAGAGTTGGTGGGAAGAGAAAAATAAAATAACACCAAGTGAATTTAATATGTTATTATTTAATAAAATATCAAACAAAATCTTTCTTACTGTAATAATTCAACTGTATACCATTGTGAATCATTAAACGATACTCCTTTATTTATTGACAATGTTGTTATCTTCTTTGTTATTAGTTCATTATTAAAATGTATTGAGAATAATAAATGACCACTGAATAATTCAATAAGTAGAAAATTGTCATTAAATTTGTTTAAAATAAATAACAATATACCTTGATCAATTGATGTTTTAAAAGAAAACTTAATAAGTAATGACACATTTTCGAAATGTTTATTGCTTATTGAAAGATAACATTTGGATTGTTTAAATTGTACAGGGAAGTCATAACTGGTTGGCTTATATCTTACGTTATATTCAAATAATTGGGCAGTAAATTCAACCACCCACTGATTAAGTGTAAATTCAAAGTTATTTTCTAAATTACTTTCATTTAATGGATATTGAATGTGTACATGCTTTTTCTTGTATGACATTAGTTCGATACCATTGTATAAAAAATGCGCAATATCACCATTATAACCATTAATTTGGTTAACCCTAGAATTTATTGGTAATAATGACGATTCATATGAATTGGATGATCCGATAATTATTTGTTGAACAGGTAATTCTGTAATGGTTAAATTTGTCCCTATAAAAATAAAGAATAGAAAAAGAGAACAGTTATTATTTTTCTGAAGGTAAATTTCTATTTTTGAAAAAACTGAATTAAAAGAATAAAATATGTTTGCAATGATAATTTAGTTTGAAAAGTAATCGTTCATCGAGATACTCGAAAGTTCATGATTTGATCTCCGGTTGAGTTGTGGTCATGCATTACTGAAACGTCTTATGCTAGGATAGGATATTTATCTAGAACTCCTTGATATTCATCAGTCGTGGTTTAATCAAGATCTAGTGCATTTCACATTAAACGCTCCACTCATTTTACACTGACCTACTAAGCTTAGATAGCCACTGATTGATAATTTGTTGACTTTATCTATGAGAAAATATCTTTTGTTCATGAATTTTACTAAACAAACGTCAGAAAACTAAACAGATAGATTATTAATAAACATGTCTCTTGATTATTATATAGTTTTTAGTTTACCTATACATAACGTTTATATCATTTAGACTAAGCGATCAGAAATACTGCTTACATCACAAACCTATTCTTAAATATTATTTTATATGCATATAGTATCAAAATATCTTGCAGTCACCAATGTAAATCATAGTGCTGATTATTGTTGAAGAAGATATGCAGCTCAGATAGATAATTTTGGTATTGTTGAATCCCCAAGTTAAACGGTTTAATTGAAGAACATTCAATGTTGTTCAATGATAACATCATCAAAGCTTACTTCACATAGAAGTGAGCTTCTTAATTATTCCATAAGTTTTAAATTATTTTATCATAATGATTACCATCACAATTAATAATTGTTTCATCTAAGGAAATATTTTAGCAAGCGTAGATAATCATATTTATTTGATTTCAATCACAATGTAACAAAAGAAGAATTTAATTTTCTAGTTTATATACTACTAACTTAAATCTAAATACTATATTAACTTTTTCCAAAATGACTTAATTTCACCCTATGTAAAGTGTAACAATTTTATTCTCTGTCAAAATACAATTGTTTAAGTGTAAACCAGTATCAAATGAATGAACATAAACATTGATTGATAAATGCAAATATAGAACAACATATATAAGCGAACGATATTGTTTTCGATTAGATCCTCATCAGGTTTTACTCTAATATACAGTAATATTTATATGCATATATGAAATCAAAGATACGTTTCACGGTTCAATGATCTGAACACTTATTACTTCTTATTACGTCATCTTGTAATTTTATAAATGTTATCTCATTGTCTATATTTTTCTAATCATTGACCTATTTCTGATTATGTAACATTGATTTGAGCCTTTATTATTCTTATCAAAACTAATGCACCTGTTATGACACTACCAATTTGTACTTTTCACTTATTATGTATTGTCAGAAGGGGTTTGTGGAAATTTTAGAAATTTCACAGATTGAAATCATGAGTCAATTGAAGCTAGACCACCATGGAAAACCTGGAAGCACTGGACGGCCGTTTCGTTCTAGTATGGGACTCTTCAGCAGCGCGCATTCACGATCCCGCAATGGTGTACGGTGGCACAATTTCGTGGATTGGTTGAAGTTAGACATTATCACCATTGGATGCCGGCTCACTGGTCTAGTATGTTAAGCGCTTGGTTCAAGAGTGACAGGTCCTGGGTTCGAATCTCGCACGGGGTATCGTGGATGCGCACTGCTGAGGAGTCCCATAATAGAACGAAACGGCCATCCAGTGCTTCTAGGTTTTCCATGCTGATCTAGCTTCAACTGACTCATGATTTCAACCTGCGAAACTTATTATGTAATCGTCTTCATTGTTATCATTGACTCATAGACTACCTTGATTTGTTTAATAATTTCATATATGTATATAAATATTACTGTATATTAGAGTAAAGCCTAATGAAGATCTAATCGAAAACAGTATTGTTCGCTTATATATGTTGTTCTAAATTTACAATATGGGAATATTTCAAATGCGAATATAATTTTCTCTATTAAAAAAAATATTCCTATAAAATGTATACCTACTTTGACTAAATACATTTTTATCCAAATAAACAGTTATATATGAATTGTTATGAATCAATTCAAAATAATGCCATTTTCCATCGGATAAAAAGACAGGTAATTCATATACCTTATTGAAAAGAAAAATAAAGAAATATTAATCATATTCACATAAAGCTCAGTGATTATGTAAAATAGAAACAAACGTAATTAGTTGTTTTCACAGTTAGTTAATCAATAAAGTAATTAATTGGAACCTAAAGTAGGTTTATTGTTTACAATTAATTATACTTATTGTAAAGAGTATCATTGATGCAATAAAAGTAGTACATTTATACGAGGAATCATATGACTGAATTAGATATCTGTTGGTTGATACAATAAGATTGTGGATTTATACCGCTACGTAGTTTGAATTATGCTATTGGATAGTTTTTCCGTTATTGATTGACCAATCAGTATAATATTTTTTTTTTTCATTTTTCATTTTTGTATTTCATTAAGACAAAAGTTATTACTAGGATTAGTCTAAGTCGTTTTTCATTATTATTTAGGATAGATCGTTCTTTAGTTCATTAAAATCAGATCACAACAAATTGTTTGTGCAGACCACAATTCTATCTAATAAACTAACAATCGAGTAATGTTTACTAATAGGGGTTTTCTCATATAATTGACTCATTGACATATATTCTATGTCTTGGTGAAAACATTTCATTGTTATATTTAGCATTTATATTGAACTTACAGGTATGATTCTAGAAATTTACATTATTTCATGTATGGTGCTCCTACATTAGGTGGATTCTCTCATGCATCATGACAGTAAACAATAATTAACAAGTTATACAAACAGATAATGATATTTAACTTAAAATGATAATGTTGGAAATAAAGTCAATACAAAATGTTTAAAACAACTTGTCTGAAAATCTCCATAAATAGTTAAGTGTCCTGCTATCTTAGCGACAAAACGTGATTCCTACTTATAGAAGGGAAGTATTTTTTGTGATAGATTTCCTTTGGTGAGAACTAATTTAATTTATGGTTAGCTTTCGTTATAAGTTTATGACAATATGAAATACTAGATGATTATTTCGTTCTAGTTGTGACTTCATCAGTGACATTCATACACTAGAAAAATTTTAAACGTTTCGAGCCTTGACGTAAACAGAATGTTTTTAGACCACTGAGTTGGAATCGAGCAGATCATTTTATCAATATCCACCGACTCACAACTCTACGTATTTACTAAAAGAAACTTAAGTTACTAGTTTTCAATGATCTTACAGCTGAAATCAGTCATTGGTTGAAATTATCTTCAAATCGAAGTATTTTTTTAGGAACTACTGAATAAATTAACACTGGAATGAGTGTACATTTAGTTGTTGAATCCTACATAGAATGAAACACTCTTGCTTAATTCCAATGCCAGTCACAATCCATCTATTCTAACAAGCTTCCAATTCAATAACTTAATCTAGAAAAAGTTCATAGGATACACATGTGTCAATAAAAAATTCTGTCCTGAATGTCAATAACGAGATGATTCGATTCTCTATCAATAATATATCTTTAGAGAAAAATTATAAATCTTCAGAATAAAAAGCACATCTAATTATTTCATTTTCTAATCCATTACTAATCTATGTAGTCGAGTTCATGTAGTTTAACAAATTTTATAATAATTTTCACAGCCTACAATTAGTAAACAAGTTTGTAGTGGCTGTGCTTCGTTAATCAGTCACCATCTTAACCGCTATCATATAATCCTCAACGGTGTTTGGAATCAGAAGGCAAAGAGAAGCAGCAACTACAGTTTTATTAGCAGACAACTCAGACCACAAAGCAGAGAGGAAAATGAATGAGTCAGCGAACCGAGAGTGTAAAGTGTAAATGTACATGTATATATATAGGGAAATGAATTGATCATCGAACCAATTAAGCAGCTAATAATAAAGCTAACAGAATGAATATATGTGTAGGCCGTAAGTAATGTTCAAGCACACATATTTCATACAAGCACAACAATAATAAAGGTACAATGAGTTGTTATAGTATGGATGACTTTGTCCGCTAAATAAATTAACAAAAGGGCTTAACCGAGTTAAATGAGAACAAACTCAATTGCACGTGAGCTGCAATAAGTTACAAATATGAGATTGAAATAATTTATAAACGGCACTAGGTTCGAGTCCTAGGGTGAGCATCAACTTTAGAATATAAGTGCATCCAACTAACAAATCCCAAATAGGACAAAACATTCATCCTAGAAAACACGACTAGTCACTATCCATCTTTGCTTATAACTTAACAACCTGTTCTGTATTAGAAAAAGTTACCTTACAAAATAATATGACTGTTTTACATATCACATCCATTATGATTAGACTTACTTCATGTTTATTACTGATAATATATTTCACATGAATATAACCATTTACAAGTGATATTTGAAAGTTGTCAACCGTCTCATTGTAAATGAATTGTTCATTCATTTTTTGTTGTTGTTTTAATTGTTGTACAGGTAAAATAAATTGATTTATTTCTTCATATGTGAACATCTTCTTATCTATTTTCTTTGATATAAACTTATCTATCATATTTAATTCATATTGTAAATTAGGTATTGTATATAAAATAGTTTCATTTAAATAATTCGTTTGAAACATAAATACAATCCATAATAATGATGAATATTGTTGAACAGGCAATTGTATACGTATTAATTGTAATCCATTAAAATGTATAATTGGTGTAGCTTTATAAATAAAATACACAAAAAATAAACATGAAAATATCTACTTTAGGTCAAATAGAATTATTTATCATAGTAATATTTAAATGAATAAAAATCATGAGTTTAAAAGTGTTGAGTCGGCTTTCGGGGAACTTCAACGGAGCCTCCAGAGGCTCAAAAGAAGCCGAAGAGTCCCAGTCAATCAGAGCATGATGGAGCATTCTAGAATTCCAACGTGGCGTGCTACTATTGGTCAGTAGCAATAATATGTCGTTAACGGATTGGCCGAACTATGATGTTGATTTAACAAACGCTAACATCTATCAATACCCATGTTTTATGTACAAAAACGAACCTTGTAGTAAAGTATTCCTCTCATACTTTGCGTCTTCTTTCTGATGTTCAGGTCGCTGTATAGTTCTAGCGTGCGGGTTATCAGAATAGCTTAGGAACGAATATAGCGTCCAATTATCAAGACTTAACAAAAAGAAACCACAGAACTAGAGAAAATAAATAAGAACCTTCGTCTAAATTTGAACGAATAATTTCACAATATATAATGAATGAAATTTCTTTTCACATCACTTACGTTTACAAACAATCTGTTATCTTAACACTTTTCGTTTCACACCATATGTCTCTTATACACACTAATGTAAATACCTACTTTAAACATTGTTCACATTGATTGGATGACATATTCAGTATACAGTAAACCAAAGAACCGTGTACCTAATTATATTCGATAATTTTGATGTTTGATTATATTTCCTTGAAATAGCTTGAACCAGATTGCTAGGCGAAACGTTGTATTTGCTTCAAATTCTTTTGCTGATATATTACAAATACATTCTTCCTCTTTAAAGATAAAATAGTTCGTTTTTATTAGCTTGTTATCATATTTTCACATTATTATATAAGTGAGTGAATTCTATAACAAGTAAATTCTGACATGTGGTGATGAGTTTATGTAAAAAGGTAGGTTATCTATCACACCTATATTTATCTTCCAGATTAACTAGATTTATAGACTCACTTTAAATGAGATCACACTAAACTTCATAAATTAAAAAAAGTGTGATAAAAATATACAACTTTATCCTCGTTCATACATTTGATACCAAAAATACAATAGTTACTGTAAAGGATACCATTAAAATTATCTAATAGAACACAGTCAATCTAACTTATGTTTCAATGTTTCAGGTTTAATACCGGAAAAAACAAAGGGATTTATATGATCAAACTTAACCTGCGAGTACAGGAGAACACCATATGGCCATTTTCATTTCCTTCGTAAATTGTTTGGTCAACTTATTTGCATGTAATCGCAATAAACACGAAAGGATAGACCTTTTTGTTCAAGTTATCATTGTTATCTAGCATTTTTATACGTTTATGGGTATTGATGCCAAGGTTAGACTTGGTAGTTTCAAATAAATTGAGCGTTGGATAGAAAGTTTATGATAAATATATTTTTGTTATATTCCATTGAGTAGAAACACCAGAAATACAGTTTTTCTACTCATTGGAATATAATAAAAATATATTTATTATTTTATACGTTTGTATTCAGTGTAAAAACTAATTAATTGACCCTTTTTCATTTCTCTCGTTATTGATTATAAGATGAACGAATCATATTTCAACATTCTCAATTTTAATCCATTTAAATGGTGTTTGAGTTCCTGAGAAGATTGTCAACATTATTCGGAACTCATACGACAGACTGCAGTGCAAAGTCGTGCATGGAGGACAGCTGACAGATGCATTCCAAGTAAGGACCGGAGTCAGCCAAGGCTGTCTACTCTCTCCCTTCCTCTTTCTTATGGTGGTCGACTGGATTATAAAGACATCGACATCTGAGGGAAAACATGGCAAACAATGGAGAGGTCAGAACCAAATAGACGATTTGGACTTCGCAGATGACCTAGCCCTCCTATCGCATACACACGAACAAATGCAAATAAAGACAGACAGTGTAGCATCAGTAGGCCTCAACATACACAAAGGAAAAAACAAGACCCTCAAATACAATACGGAAGACATCAACTAAATCACACTTGGTGGCAGAACTCTGGAAGATGTAGAATTCTCCACATACACGGGAAGAATCGTCGATAAACAAGGAGTTTCAGATGTAGTCATAAAGGCGAGGATTGGCAAAGCAAATGTCGCATTCATACAATTGAAGAACATATGGAACTCAAAACAAATTTCAACAAATATCAAAGTGAGGATCTTCAATACCAACGTCAAGACAGTCAGTTCTACTGTACGGAGCTGAAACTCGGAGAACTACAACAACCACAATCAAGAACATAAAAGTATTTATAAATGGTTGTCTATGCAAAATACTCAACATCCATCGACCGGATACCATCAGCAACAGCCTTCTATGGGAGAGAACAAACCAGCTACTAGCTGAAGAAGAAATTAGGAAAATATGATGGAGATGGATAGGATATACATTACGCAAATCAGCAAACTGCATCACGAGGCAAGCACAAACTTGGACGGGAAGTGAAAGGGCAATGAACATGTTATGTCGAGAAATAGAAGCAAATACGAAAAGGATGAATAACAAGTAGAAGGAGCTGGAAACGATTGCTTGGGACAGGGTTGGATGGAGAATGTTGGTTAGCGACTTATGCTCCTTCACGAGGAGTAACAGGCGTACGTAAGTAAAGTAAATGGCCTTTATATTTGACCACTTAATTAGGATTTTTAAGTTTCCTAGTAAATTTCTTGTAGTCTTGAAGTGGTTTTTATGATACACAGCAAACCACTTAAACAGGAGTGTACTTGATATTTATATTACTATGGTTTGGTATTTCTGAAAGTGTACATTCTATGATATTTGCATGAATCGATGCCAGATGTCCTGGACTCATACTGTTGAGTCGAAATACAGTAATCTATAAATCAGTTTATAACGTAGTATGATTCTTCACCATACAATCAGTTTCGTGTTGATTCATCACTGTCAACTACTGGTTGATATCTATTTACAACATAAAAAAATGTTGTACTCCATTATTTTCATTAGTTCCCCAACTAATCTCAATTCTATACGAAAAATAATATTTATACCGGACTAACTCGACTCAGCCATCTGACAAAACATTACTTAAAATGATAATCAGGGTAAAAATAGAATTACTGAATTTTAAGTTCATTTGTTTATGAATATGGTCACAAGATCAGGAATATAAGTATATATATATATATATGTCTAGATGTCTACAAAATAAATTACTGTTAAGGATCATCAATATCTCTACTGTCTAACACCTTTCCAACAGTCCAAACTTTTAAATTTGCGAAAAAGAAAATGAAATACACATATTGAACTACTAGACATAACTCACAATCTTTTAATTCAGTGAAGTTATACAAATAAGAATTTAATAATCTCTCTCTTCGATGATGATAATAATAATGATGATGATGATGGTGATGATATTGTTTATTTAATGAACATGATAATTTATTAGAATCAAATGATGAGCAAATATTTGAGAACATTTCTGTTGTAACATTATTATTGTCACACTTAAAGGGTAAAGAAAATTTTGTAATTGTATGAATTTTTTCATGTTGAATACTTTGTAAATAACGTATACGTGCTTGAAAAGCTGATTGTAAATCCAAGCGTAAACCATTAATTGTAACCCTTTTAAAAATGAAAAAAAATGTTAAAATAAGTAGACAACTTCAATGTATTCATAAGATTTACAATAGTTAAGTCAGTAGTTTTAAGTATAAATAAATTATTATTTCAGAATATAATTTATTGATGAAAATAATGAATTCATAGTGTGTTGGGGACGATAGACTATCGAGATTCTGAACCCTTGATCCGATCGATAAGTCACTGTCATATAACCGGCTGTCCCTTTGAGCCATAACAATTGGCGACGGGGTAAAAAAAATACAATCCAAAGTCATTCTGTAATTGGACAAAATCCAGTCTAATTATTCAATCAATCAGTATCCAGTTTGTCATCAGTGTCCCTGAACGACATTGGTCATTATTCATACAGTAATCTTCATTGCTGGTGCTGATCCAAAAAATGACACTCCCTTCCGATCGATTGCAGCTGCTCTTTGAACGACATTTGGAGTTATTAGTCAAGTTCTGCACGCAGCTGCTAAGTCAGACATGCTATGAAGATGCGACGGAAGTGGATGGATTGATATCTGAATTACACAGTGAGCTGGAAAATGACAACAGCCTCCATGAATCCTCGATTAACTGTACTTCGAACGAAATGGCAGTCATCCATGATGCCCCCAGTGGTCCAGTACTTTCCATTTCAGAAACATGCCCGGTAATGGATTCGAACTCCGTTATCCCCGAAACAGCATGTGCAGACAGCAACGCATCCAGCTCACGAGATCTCATTGTTTTGCCAGAAAATGTGTTCCACGCATCAAATAATAACCAAGAACCTGGTACAGTTTTGTTGGACGCCGATTATCATAATGATCCACTACTTACTAAAGATTTAAACCCTGATGACTTCGAATTGGATGGCGTTTATCCTCAATATCTGATCGATTTTACTGCATTCCCTGTGCAATATGTTTTAAAGACAATCAAATTAATTGTAAATTGGATTTATGAAGACCCAACATTATTTCGAGGGGGAGGATAAACGCGAGAAAAATTTAAAATCCGGACATCAACTCCGGATCTCCAAAAAAGGGGAGGAGTGTTGGGGACGATAGATCCCCAAACTCATATTTTAAATTTTATCTTACCGATCATCTTATCGATTAAATGTTAGATATTTTTATTGGGGTCAATTGATGAACTATCGATTAAATGCGCAAATAGGTCAATTAATGAACTCATTGATTAATGTTTAAAAATTTTCTATCGATTGTAAATAATTGTATAAATACGCTTGACTTGTATGCTTGATCGGATCTGCCTGCCTGACTTGTTATCTGCTGTTTGTCTGTAGAATACACTTTCTACACCTTACACAGACTTCTTGATCGAGTTAGCAGAGTTGGGGACAACGGACCAGAATAGTGTATCGAGTCGCTGAATCATTGATCCTTCGTTCGTTCGAGTAAGACGCATCAGTAATCGCATTCAAGCAATAACGAAACATAACATAGTGTGAATCAGTTGTGATAAGTTTCATCTTTTCTTTTTCAATATATAATAAACGGCAACTGATTATTCATCTATGGTATATATGCTTCTTGAGTAAATTGCTTTAATGATATCTTTGTCACCAGCATTTATAAGTAAAGCTGTATAGTTAATGCAGTGGAATCTAGAACACGTATTCCACTTTACTGAGGACTAACCAATTGAATGTACCTGTACCGCACAGTTAATGTTCAGAGAGTAACTCAGAACCAGTGTCGTCTGATTTAAACTCCGTAAATTTTTATCCACTGAGCAACTAAGTTCAGAGAGTTACTAGCTGTTACAACAGGAATTAATTATAGTTCACTTTTATGGATTTGAATCTTCCCATTGTTCATAATAATGATACTGTTTAACTATCATTTAAATAGTCCGATCCAGTGACAATTTGTTGATATTTAAGCTTTTGTTTATTTTATATCTTTTAAATCAAACATATAGATTGCATCATTAGATGTCTTAATGAATAAGATTTGTAGTTTAGTTGACTTATTTTATTCCCCGTGACAAATATCTCCATTGATAATGAAGTTTATTTGCGTGAAAAGCACTCTTTTGTAAGTCTGATACAATATATAAAGCTGTGGTGGTCTAATCATTAAATACGTGACTTAAATAGAAGCATCACAAATTAATTTTAATAAAATCTGAGTTTTTTTAATTACAATAACTTAAGAGATGATCGGTATAATTTAAAAGTCTCATTTTCAAACAATCACAAATGATAAGGAGTTATTTCAGATATTTGTTTATCAGGTGAATACATTCAGTCGTGTTTCGATTCCCGAGTTAGAGAGTCAGCTTATGAATTTTGAATGGTTTTTTTTCACGCACAATCATTGATCCACTTTTCTATTTAGAAAAGACACTAATAATGCTGGCCAGAACGTTAATGAAATTAGTTTTACTAAACCACAAAACTTATGGAATACAACATCACTAAAAAAGATTATTTTTTAAAAATTTCTAATCTGTTAAAACAGAATTTATTTCCATGAAACCATTTGTAAAATAATTTTGATTCGTCTTATTTTAAATCATCTACAACCCCATCGAGTATCGAACTCATGACCTTTGGTCTCAAGCGTACGAGATTTCAATATGAAGCTGTAACTAGAGGGAATTGACTATTTTAAATGTGAAACATTTGTGCATAGCAGGCTATAAGATATGGTAAAGTAATCTCTTACATTGATTAAAATTAAATATCTGTGTCATTTGATACAATCTTCCTGATCTAAACGTTAAGCCCTCCTGCACTAGACTAAATTTTGCAGGTGTAGTCCTAGATGGGACCGTGGATGCGCATTGTTAAAGAATGCCACAATACAACAAAAGAACTGTTTAATACTTTCTGATTTTCAGTAGTTATTTAACTAACATCAGGTCGTGAGATGAATTAGAAAATGTGGTGGTTTTTTTGAAAATAAATCTTCATGTGATTTTATAGTTTCAGTAAATAAGTAGTTACAATACGTGGGCAAAAGAAATTGAGCCTCTGTCTTGAATTAAGAATAAAAACATAAAAATTGCATTTATTTCACTTGGAAAGGATACAACAATAAGAATCTCTTTGACGTTATGATTCGTTGAAAAGAAAATATGTTTTAAAGTTAGTATTATTCAAATTGAAAAGTTAAAACAACTGGTAATTCATATGTTTAGAAATGATTACAATTTTTGACTGGTATTAATACTTATCACCATGATTAATATTTCAGAATCAGATATTTCTGATAAAAGATAACAGATATAAAATCTAAGTTTCAATTGATGAAACCCTTATATCCACAGAATAATTAATGGCTATCTGAAATCCTTAGCTCAATGGAGAATCGTGGTATTTATATGAAATAATAATTCCTTTGGACTTCATTTCTGCCTGGTTTTTAATTTCAAATACAATACATTCGTTTGTAATTTCAATGGTTAAGATCATGAGTCAATTGAAGCTAGACCACCATGGAAAACCTAAAAGCACTGGACGGCCGATTCGTCCTATTGTGGGACTCCTCAGCAGTGCACATCCACGACCCCGCCCCCTGCGGGATTCGAAGCCGGGTCCTGTCATTTACGCGTGTGAGCACTTTACCCAGGGGCCTACTAGTTTCGCGCGCGAGCACTTAACCACTAGACCACTGAGCCGGCTTCAATTGACTCATGATCTTAACCATTGAAATTACTGTAATATCCGCAAAACCCATCTGACATTTGTTTGTGTTCATCTAAATTTTATTGATCTAAATTACGTTACTTTCAGGGATTCTTAGTTAATACCATCAATCAAATACTTCTAATTATCACCCCAAAAAAATGTTTATACATATAATGTAGAAGGTAATATGTTCGAGTCCTTTGTATCAATATCAACATTAGTATCTAAGTACCTTCAATTGAGTAGCTTTAGATACAACAAAACATTTGTCTTAAATTTCATCATTCATCATATAACCAATATAATAAATTACAGATTAAACAATAAATTAGAATTTATGAATTACAATATTCCAATTCCATAACTCATAAAACAAATTTAATCAGTTTAATTTGAAAAAGCAAAAAAAAAACGATCAACATATTTCCAGTATACATAGTAACAAGATAAATCATCTCATATCATCAATGTATTACATTCATATCATTCATTGATCAATCATCATACTTTATCTATTGAACATTGAAATGATTAAATTTATTGTTTATTTGTTTGTTTTCATTGAATCATTTAATTCTTATCTATCCTTATTTGTTTTTTGAAAAACAAACAAACAAATGAACAAATAACTAAACTAATTATAATATTCACTATTTGATTATTTATATTTAGATATGAATCAAGTCAACAGATAATAATCTATTCTAATATAAATTTTATAAATGTCTATAATTACTACTAATATTCTGATAGATATTGTCCATAAATTTATTTCAATTATACTATAATATCAGATGGGTTTTGTGGATACTATAGTAATTTCAATGGTTAAAATCATGAGTCAGTTGAAGCTAGACTACTATGGAAAACCTGGAAGCACTGAACGGTCGTTTCATCCTATTTTGGGACTCCTCAGTTAATTGAAACTAATTGAAATTAAATAGTTCATTGTATCAAATGAAATTTTAGTGGATACGTCTCTTCTTTTTTTATCCAAAGAAACAAAAAATGGACGAAGGTGAGGAGGCATTTTATTTGAAAAATTAACAAAAACAAGTATATGGAATTTATTTGATTGTAATTGACATTTTACAATGGTAGGTAGTTTTTTAATGATGAATAGTTATGAAAATTTAAAATAAAATACAGGAATCATTTTTGTTTATCAGTTTAGTGACAAAATTGAGGTGTTTAACTCTATTCAATATACCATAATTATATACTGTTATTTTGTTTAATAGTTTTAATCATTAATCAACAATTCTATGATTTTTGTGGTAGTGTGTTGTATACTACTTATGTTTTTCGACTTAAGTAGTATATGAAATGTATGGTAGCAGAAAGTTAAGAAGATTGAGTTGAGAGAAAAAAAACAGAAACGGAAAAAGAAAGGAATTGTGAATACCAAAACTCATACGGAATGTAAAGGACAAACCAAATATTTAATACATAGTTCTCATATTTTAACAAGTTAGTCTGTAACTTAGTATTATATAATAATTTGGTTTAAAATAAGAAAGATTAGTTCAGTAAGGAGTTTTATTTTCGGCGAATTCATTTTCAAAGCTGTACAATCGGAAATGTATATGCTTATTTTTACAGGATGATAATAATACTGATAATAAACTTATGTTAGACATGGCGACAGCGAAGTTAAATAAACAAAGGTATTAAAAGAATTTTTTTGAAAACAAGGAAAGTTTAATAATCGTTTGATTGTTAATGGCTTAAGTATTCATCAAAAGATAGAAAGAGGAATTATTATTGAGAAAAGGATGGCTCAGCATGATAAGGAAAATTTTTGAAATTAAAAATAAATGTAATCACATTGATCGTGGAAACAAAAATAAACCAGTTGGAGGTATAGGATTTTAGGGGGAAGATGCAAGGGGAAGCAGATGGCTGTAAAAGAAGAAGAGTATGGAAAACAGAAAAAAATTATAAGACATTAAGATCATGGTCGAAGAAGAGGTTGTACCAGTCTCTTTCGCACGCACATTTCTAGTTTTTCCAGATGTATGGCTAATGCTTCGGCAATGTAAAGAAGATGCAGTCTAATTGTCTTTGGAAGACTTCAACTTACCTTGTAGATGACTTTAAACGCAGAGTCTGTCTTGATGAAGTGACCTGTGTTCACAAGGTGTTCGATTATTGAACTTCTTATTCAGCCGTTTCCTCCTCCTTTTAGCCACTCCGGATAATGTTCTTGAATTCTTTTGGGTAAATTACGCATCGAACGACCTATATACCTAGCTCCACATTAGCAGGTTGATTGGTAAATGCACATTAAGTTAGATAGATGCGATAATTTATCTTTAAAATTATTGGTGAACAATGATCGGCTGGAGAATAATATTCACAATGTTTCTGCGAAGAATGTTCTTTTAAAGGAATCAGAAATTCTTCTCTTTAAGATGTATGTGGCTCTGTCACGCTTAAAGTCGATGTTCATGTATAAAGTTTTCTTTTCTACTGTAAATATTTGTGTTTTCAAAGTTTTCGGCTTTATGTTTTTGATAATTGTCTCCTTTAAAATGCCCAATTCCTCATCCATGACTTCGGAACTACAGATTCTTTGTATTCTTGTGGCAAGTGTTATTATTAAATTTCTTTTTTCACTGATGTAGCCCAGATGCAGAAACTTAATAATTGACCATTCCACATGGGTTTCCTGTAAATAGATCCTCTTACAGTACCATGTTGCTTTCTTGTCATTTTCACATCAATTTGGTTTTCCCTATCTGAATGTTTATTCACTACAGTAGGATAATAATCAGTTGGTATAGTTTGGGTCAAAATTGATGAACATTTCTTTGTCAACCCTATTTTACTCTTTTATTTAACACAAAATTCTTCAATGATTTCAATCATTATACAAAGCGTCACCAACAAGTATTCGTATAATTGAATATTATACATTTAAAATAGCATTATTACGTAACCTATCTTATCACAGTTTTAATTCCATGAATCCTTCATTACCTCTAAAATTATCACACAACTTATGAACTCCACTAAATTATTATACCACCCACCCTGAATTATTTCCTTATTTCTAACACCAATTAACCTCTGACCTGTTCTTGCATATATATATATATATATATATATATATATATATATATATATATATATATATATATATATATATATATATATATATATATATATAGTTATTATTGTAAACCTTTGTCATTCCAGTTATTTGCATTCATTTATGTCAATTGTTTCACACTATTTCTTATCTCAATGTAAAATTCTATTGCATATTTGACTGTAAGCAGCTGACGAATACCTCGAAATATCATGAATTCATACTATTCTGCATCAATATTTGTTCTTGGCTTATTTATTATTATTATTATTATCATTAGCTTTATTCAATATTATATTTTTGGTACAATATAGAATTCTCAGCACAAAGTATTTCAACAAGTTTCCGTTTCTTTCTTCTTGGTCGGTCCTGGCGATAAATATTGAGGGATCGCCAGTTAGATGTTAGCACTTCAGTGAATGAACAACTGAATAATGTACATTCTTTTCGTTGTATATTGCCAGCAACCATATTGTCTCTTATTGAGTTTTCTGTAACTTTGACAACGAAAGGTTGTACACTTTTCAGAAACGCAGCAGAATAGGTTATGCGATTAATAAACATAATGATATATTAAAACAAACAACAATAGATAACTTGTTGGAATATCTAGATGGCAGGAACAGGTAGCCCAGATGCTCAAGCAGGCCGCCCTATTTAAATTCATAAAACGGAACCAACTGTATAAAATAGTATAGTTCAACTGAATACTTACCCAGTAATACAACCTTGAAAATGTTGATATTTATTATGAATATTCTGAATACCTGGTATAAATAATCCATTTTCAATCGATTTTGTATAATTAATACCACCTAAATAGATAGTTCTACCAAACCATAATGTATTCTGCCAAATGTTTTGATAAACTTGATTGACCATTTTTAAATTTTTCATTAATTTCAATTCTTGTTCATTATTTAATACTGTTAAATGGATATCATTACTATTATTATTATCACTATATTGATTATTTGGACCAACAGTTATCCAATTATCGATTGTATCATCATCATCATATTGTATTTTGACTAACGGCCATAAATCATTTAATGATTGATTATTATTTTTATTGATTAACCAAATCATTGTATATTTAATTTGTAATTTATATTGATTATGTAATAATGATAATTGATTGAATTTTGAATTTAATTTTATATTAAACCATATTTGCTTATTTTTTTGTATAATAATATATAATTGATTATTACGAAATTCGGCACCAATCAATATATTCTTATTAAAATGATATTTATTGATTATTTGTTGATGATCATTTTTAATTAAACTATAATGTTTTAATTTATTATTAGTATCATCATTTAATAAAAATAATAAACCATTTTGTTGATTTGTATATTGATTAAATTGTATTTCTATATGAATCCATTTTAATGTATGAATTAAATTGATTGTAGATTTTACATTTTGTTGAATACATTCAATAGAATTTTGTAATAAATTCAATGTTGGTAATTTTAATATAAGAAACATATCGTCATCATCTTCAAATATGGTTGAATTAAAAGAAATTGATGATGTAATCATTTGATTCATTATATTGATTAAATGACATATTTGTATAAATTCAATAGGTTCAATAGTATAAGATTGAATTTCATTAGTTTGATAATATGATGATGATGATGATAAGTTTTATTTGTTAAAGGGTATATTGATTGAATTCGAAAACCATGTAAATTAGATAAAGTAAATTCTAGAATATTCATTTCAAGTGAGTCAGCTTGAAAAACCGCCTAAAAATGTTAACATGGTAATATTGTTTAGTATTCATTAAATTACTTTTTGAAATTGTATAAATTATTTAAATGAGTTAAACAAATGAAAATTAATTAAATGATGAAAATTTAAGTAGAATATTCCAAGTAATAAACATTTTGAGTTAAAAGGACAAATTTGAGATAATTTGCTTATGATAAACGTTTACCGGCAGATCAGTCGATAATGGGGTTGGTTATGTAAGAAAAAGGTATTAAGTTAGAATCATAGTGTGAGCATAAATACCTGAATGTATTAACTTGCAGCTGACTATTCTTAAATAGAGTAGAATACGCCTCTTTGATTCAGCCGGTAACCACAATTCATCTTTTTATAAGACTTGCGACCAAATAGTTTTATTTAAATAAAGCTTTAAGGACGTATATATTTATTACTTATTTAAGCCTTTTACTCATTGTTGAATATAGATCACCAATTACTTACGCACTTACATACTTACGCCTGTTACTCCTTGTGAATGAGCACAAGCCACTCACAAACATTCTCCACCCAACCCTGTCCCAAGCAATCGTTTCCAGCTCCTTCCACTTTTTATTCATCCTTTTCATACCTGCTTCTATTTCTCGACATAACATGTTCATTGCCCTTTCACTTCCCGTCCAAGTTTGTGCTTGCCTCGTGATGCAGTTTGATGATTTGCGTAATGTATATCCTATCCATCTCCATCATCTTTTCCTAATTTCTTCTTCAGCTGGAAGCTGGTTTGTTCTCTCCCACAGAAGGCTGTTGCTGATGGTATCCGGTCGATGGATGTTGAGTATTTTGCATAGACAACCATTTATAAATACTTTTATGTTCTTGATGGTGGTTGTTGTAGTTCTCCGAGTTTCAGCTCCGTACAGTAGAACTGACTGTCTTGACGTTGGTATTGAAGATCCTCACTTTGATATTTGTTGAAATTTGTTTTGAGTTCCATATATTCTTCAATTGTAGGAATGCGACATTTGCTTTGCCAATCCTCGCCTTTATGACTACATCTGAACCTCCTTGTTCATCGATGATGATTCCCGTGTATGTGGAGAATTCTACATCTTCCAGAGTTCTGCCATCAAGTGTGATTTGGTTGATATCTTCCGTATTGTATTTGAGGATCTTGTTTTTCCCCTTGTGTAGATCACCAGTTAGCAATCTCCAACTAACTCTGTCGTGAGTTCCCATTTACTATTCATTCTTTTGATGCCCGCTTCCATTCCCTTGTTCTGGCCCTTTTTCTCTACACTTGAGGATTCCAATTGTTTGCTTTGTGATCCAGTTTGATGGTTTCTGCAATGTATGTCACACCCATCTCTAACGTCTTTTCCTGATTATCTCTTCAGCTAAGAACAGACTTTTTCTCTGCCGTAGTAGTTTGTTGCTGTTGATAATTGACCAACGGATATTGAGTATCTTGAGTAGGCAGTTGTTAATAAATGAAAATCATCGAAATTGGTATTGTTTACTTGGATCTTCACATTGATGTTTAGCACTGTAATTGATCAGTCTCTTATTGGCATATGTACATACTTTGCGTATTCCCTTGATATTGTCTTAGTTTCGATTGAATCTGTTGCATTCCTAAACATCAATGGAAAGATTTAAGTAAACAATATCAAGTGAATTTAAACTTCACCCCGTTTCGCAAGCAAGTGTCTATCAGGACTCAGTAGCTGAGTGGATAACGCGATGGTGTTTGAAGCGGGTAGTATTGAGTTGTAGTCCCAGAGTGAACATCAACTCTGCGATGCAGGCACCTCCGGTTGACGAGTCTCAAATAGGACGAAGCGCGCGTCTTGGATTCCACTGCTATCCACTATCTACCTTTGCTTATAATACTGCATTTTCTGTTTTGACTCACACCACGTTATTTAATGGTAGAAAACTCTGGTGGTGCTTAATGTGCCATGTTTATTAAACTAGATATCAGTGATGTTCTGCTTCGAATTCCGTCCCAACTATGAATTTATCTTAATTTCAATTATGACGAATGTCATTTATCTTGAAACCATGTGAAAAATAATTACAAATTTTATATACCTTGTGTTAGACCATACATCAAACAAAATATGCCAAACAAATCAAATAAACCATTGTTCTCTATTTAATAAGATTAAAACAATATAGTAAGCCTCTAATATTGGTTCTCTATACTTTTCCATTAATTAATCGCTTAGTAGTAAACAATATCAAATTGATATCAGAAGGGTTTTGTGGATATTATAGTAACTCCAGTGGTTGAGATCATAAATCAATTAAACACAGACCACCATGGAAAACCTGGAAGCAGTGGATGGCCGTTTCGTCCCCTTGTGGGACTCCTCAGTTGTGGGATAGTAACTCACCGAAAACAGTGGTGGATGTGTCACTCAATTTCGTGGATCGGTTGTAGCTACACATTAACACCGTTGAAAGCTGCTCAGTGATCTATTGTTTAAGCGCTAGCAGGCAAAACCGATAGGTCCTTGGTTTGAATCCCATGAGGCGGGATCGTCGATGAGCACTGCTGAGAAGTCGCACAATAGGACGAAACGACCGTTGACTGCTTCTAGGTTTTCCATGGTGGTCTAGCTTCAATCGAATTGTGATCTCAACCATGAAAATATCAAATTGTTTAAGCTTTAGTATTGCTTTAGTACTACTAGACTAAATGACTAGATACCTGTCAAACAAAATAATATTATCTGACACTTAATACCTAATTAACATAAATATTTCAGCCTTTCAAGCGATCAGTCATAGTAACAATAAATAATTAACACTCAAATTAAGACACTGTATGTAACTGATTTCATAATCTATTACTTACTTTAGAAATAAAACCGATAAAATTATTATCTGATACAATCTCAATTGAATTCATTTGAAATATATCACCTAATTTATATGGTCCACCTAAAACAATAATTTGTGTATGTAATAAATATAAACGTTGATAATTAGATGGACCAAGCAGACGTGTAAATACCAAGTCGTTATCTATGTATACTTGTAACTGAAAAATAATTAAAAAAGAAATATATATGTACTCTTTGTATAGTAGAATAATACATATTTACAAGATTGAACACATTTATTTTTAATCGGAGGGGTTTTTTGTATATTATAGTAATTTAGTCGTTGAATTCATGAATCAATTGAAGCTAGACCACCATTGAAAGCCTGGAAGTACCGGACAGCCGTTTCGTCCTACTATGGTACTCCTCAGCAGGGCGCATCGACGATCCTACCCCGCAAGATTTGAACCCAGGATCTATCAGTTTCACGCGCAAACCCCCAACCTCTAGACCACTGAGCCGGCATTATAATCATCAATGAATATTGAACTATTTAATGATGGTTCATAAAATATTCAGGGGATAATTCTAAAACTTCATGATTTTTTAGATCGATAAACGTTGATAAAGAATTTGTGCATTTTTTCATCGTGTTGAATAAACGTGCGGTTAGATCAAACATCGTTTATTTAGGCTGAATCATTCTGATTAGTTTGTTTGTTCTGTTTGACTTGAATATTTATTGGATTTTTCATATGTTGTTACATTTGATAGTCATTTTGAACCTGCATAGATGATCTGTTCTTATATCATGAAAATATACTATCAATTCTAACATTAAGCATTACAACATATCAAGTAAAAAAGTACAGCTCAAATAATGACTGTCATTATTGAAAGTAATGACTTTTTTTATTCATCTATGTACAATGAGTATCAATGATGTCGGGTGTGAGGCATTAAGAATATGGTAGCAGAATATCACAAATCGACTAAATTTAGAAACGTAAACAAATTGATTTAGGTTCAGTGACTGAAATAGCAAGCCCACGTTACAAGTCCTGAATGTTCGGAACTCAATCACTAGTGATGTAGTGGGTGTGTAGTGCAGGTGAAAAGTCCTAAACTGAGACGAAACAACTGTTCAGTGATTTTCCGTTATCAATGGTTCTTTAACTAAAATCGCTTCGTTTTATTGAATAAACAGCTCCTCTAGATAAATGTCTGTCTTCGTGACTGTCCGGTGACAAAAAAACAAGATTGAATCATTGTTTTAATTCTCTATGGTACAAGTTCACGAACTTGTATTGAACTGAATTTATAATTGGCAGGTTTCCAAAAGAGTATGATACCATTTAATTACCAAGTTATAATTTAAGTCCTATTTAGGTCTTAGTTAATTTACAGATTAACAATACTCTTATTCATTACCATTAATGAATTAGATTTCCACAAACACTGTACAGGTTTTTCAACAAAAAACCTAGTATATCGTCCTTAAGCTTATTACCAGTCAGTATAAGTTTATTATTTGCGTAGGTAGTTTTGTAAAGACTTTATAGAATTTGAAGGAAGCTCTCCATAAATGAGTCTTCATTTGACTTAAGAAAGTAAAATATGTGTATACAGTCACTTTCCAATTAAACATATCTTATATTTAACATTTATATATAATTAAATAGTTAAGATCATGAGTTAATTGAAGCTAGACCACCATGGAAAACCTGGAAGCACTGAACGGCCGTTTCGTCCAAATAGGGAACTCCTTAGCAATGCGCATCCACGATCCCGCCCCGCGAGATTCAAACTTTATATATATATATATATATATATATATATATATATATATATATATATATATACCAATGAGTTTGATCTTGCCAATATTATAGAATGCCATTGGTTATCGTCTAGTCGTAATGTTGGGTCTAGTTTCGATTGAATCAATATATCCAACTGAAATAAACTTGATAGTTTGTTCTTTCGGTAAATGCCATGATTTTGAGTAATTGCATTATTTCCTTCTGCTAAATTTAATTGAATGTCTGTTTCGGTGATTGGCAAGTGTAGAAATACTTTGAGTAGCCCGTTGACTATATCTAAACGAAGTAATTGCGTTTCACTACCTGAAAAAGGCAAGAATAAGTTAAATGCAAAGTTAAATATTTATTAATTTTGCTAATTCTGAACGTTAGTAAACTTATTTTTGTCACGAACAAAGTCTAATAAGACAGTTATTAAGAAACGATGAGTTTAGGATATCTGTTTCGCCACAGTTTGGGAGCCCTCAGAATTAAGAACTTACGGTCATTGTAAAGATCAAACCAAAGACCTTCAGTTCTTATAATAATCATGACATCTTTGAACCGCTTAGGATTTTGTGATTCATTTAAGTATTTATACACTGTTTCCTAGTTCATAACAGTTTCTCGGTTGATCCCAAATTATGATTAAATTGAAATCGCGCAGTCAATATAAATCTCTCGTGAAGATTGTGTACCAGTAGTTTTGGTTCTTCGATTTCATTATTTATTTAGGTTTTAGTTTAATTTAAATAAATATTGTCTCATGTGCATTGAGGTGCCAGAAGCGATAAATATTTCAAGCTGTTTAATAGATCACAACATTGTCATACGACCAATGTCTTAGTGGAAATTACAACATACATAACAAGTATTCAATTCATTCTCTACGTTTAATTATTCGGCATGATGTATTTTAATTCTTCTGTAGTGATAGGTGGCAACTTCACTTTTTTTAACTTATAAGAAACTTCTATTTTACTGATTTTTCTTGTTTTGACTTAATGTCTTTGTTATTTAGGTGACATCATTTTACTTGAAATACTTAGTCACCGTCAACTATATTTCACCAAGTTATTTTTGGAAATGAGTTTGTTGGATAACAAATCTTATATAGATAAAAACAGAATTTTATGGTTTTAGTCATCAGCTGATCTTAGACAGCTACTGAAAATCAATAATCACTGAAAACTACCTGTTTGTTGCTTGAAACTCTTCAGGAGTGCTCATTCATGTCTCGACTGACGAGCAAACCCAGGATATTCAGGTCTCATTGCATAAACTTAATCTTTGAACCAGTGAGGTGCTATATAATGTCAAATAACCCTTAATTCACCCAATTCGTAATATTTGACAACCACCTCCAAGTGTCGTCGTCAGGGAACTCACCCTCACTTGACCTGAAGATCCACGATTCGACCCTTGTGGGGTCGCAGACGTGCACTACAGAAGTGAAAATCCATTGTGCGACGAAATAGCTTTTCAGTGCTTCTTATTTCCGAATAGTCGTCTAACTGAAGTTTTTCCATGATGTAAACTACAAAATACAACAATCTTCCTCAAACACAGACTGCAAGTGAAATAATTGTAATCGTTACAAATCTCGTATCTTTGAAAGCTGTAACAGTTGTTTAATTGCATCCTAACTTCTAATTCAAGAGTTATTATTTTTACTATTAGATGTCATATATCCCGAAAATTATTATGTTAAGTTATACTGTTGGGATAATAGCTGGTTTTTGGTTTAAAAGAATGGATTGTGGAGATTATTTCATTTTGAAGATCATTTGTGTTGTGCACTAACATTAGCTAACTTCAAAATAAATTACCCTACAATTAATAATGAAATGTTGTAACATGCGATATCAATGAATTTCTTGTTGAGACCGTGACTTAAGATGAAACTATATCATAAATCGACTACAGTTACATATGTTTAATTCTTGGTGTTTTGACTTGATATCCGAATGATACAACATTCATTAAGTAGACCGACAGCTTTAAATCAGTTCCATGTAGGATGATAAGTACATACTATTGAATAGTACAAAGTGGATGATGATATAACCATTAATTATCTATTTATCTTTCCTCATTTGCAATTTATAGTAAAAACTAGATTCTATTAAAAATTGAAATATAATTATATTATTAAACATGAAAATGTCTTTAATTTGCTAAAAAATACTTAGAAATTTCATTTCTTTGTATCTTCTCACTGATAGTGAAGACTGTAATTGATCAATCCCTAACTACAACTGAATAATACAATCACTTACAAACTTAATTCATTCCTGTTGCACAAGTCAAAAGCTATCTAAACTTAGTAGCTTATAGAGTAACATGATCATTGAAAGCAAAAAACTATTGATATGATCATCAAATTTGAGATGTAAATAAGTTTTTCGACAAGATAAAAATAGACAATCTAGTTTCTACTGCTAACCACTATCCAAAACATATTTTAAATATAAAATTCTTAATTTTTATTTAATAGGTGACCTGAATAGAGATTTATAATGAGAGAGACAGTAAATCTAAATGACTTATATATATAATACATAATTACTTATAATTGATAATGAACTCATTAATATATAGATATAAGTAGAATAAACTACTCTTAAAATCTTTCATACATAAATGAAGTATTCTAACTATTTTAATTGTTGAGAAATAAATATAATTTAACTATAGGTCAGTATTATCATTATAATTTTGTACAAACTATACCTAAAAACATGTTTTCTTTATAAAAAATCATTTCTAATTCTATACATAGATACATACATATATACATTTATATAAATGTAAACGTATGTGCATGTATGTGTGTGTGCGAGAGAGAGAGAGAGAGAGGGAGGAGTGAGAAGGTGTGTGTGTGTGTATGTGTGAAAGATTGAAAGGATAAAAACAACACAATTTAAAGTGATATTATTATTATTCATGATTTACATTGTGGCTTCTTCTTCTGTTTTTCTAGCTTCTATTGATAATAATTTTTGTCATTTTTTTAAAGAAAAAAAAAGAAAGAAAAATGACCTTTTTCAAGGAACAGTTTTTCTTCTGTTTATATTTTATCTACATTAATTTTATTTTATATAGAAATGTTGTGATTAATTGGATACATTCAATTATCTTTTGTTGTTGTTGTCAACTCCTATACATCTTGTTGTTATTATTATATTTTCATTATATGATTTAGTTTTTTTTCTTCAACTATAAAAATGTTTGTTATAATTAGTAATAATTAATTAAATTTAAATATCCCCCATTTTTTAAAAAAGAAAGAAAGAACTAGGTGTAAAATTGGAGAAGACTGAAAATGAAAAAAAAGAAAGTATCAGAAGGGGTTTTGTGGAGACTGTAGTAATTTCAATAGTTGAGGTAATTAGTCAATTGAAAGAAAGTAATTTATATATTTCACGATTGGAAAATTCCCGTATTGTGATTTAGAACTATATATATATATATCAGGGAACAATATGGTTTTTTGATTAGATCCTAATCAGGCTTATAACATTAATTCAATAGTTTATTATTCTTATCACAACTAGTACATCTGTTATCATATTACCAATTTGTACTTTTCATTTATTTATGTAATCTATTCCATCTGTTATTATTGACTTATAAACTGCCTTGATTGGTTTAATAATTTCGTATATGTACATAAATATTCCTGTATATTAGAGTAACCCTTTCTATTTCTCCTGGTGATCAACTGTATTATTAAGACGTCAACATCTCGGGGGAAAGCATATGATGCAGTGGAGAGCTAGGATGCAGCTGGACGATCTAGACTTTTCAAATGATCTGGTGCTTCCGCCGCACACGCAACAACAAATTCGGGAGAAAACGACCAGTGCAGCAGCAACCTCAGCACCAATAGGTCTCAACATACACAAAGGGAAAAGCAGGATTCTCCGATACAACACAGCATGCAACAATCCAGTCACAATTAATGGAGAAGATTTGGAAGATGTAAAGACCTTAAAGTATTTGGGCAGCATCATTGATGAACAGGGTGGATCTGATGCAGATGTGAAGGCGCGGATCGGCAAGGCAAGAACAGTATATCTACTACTGAACAACATCTGGAACTCAAAACAACTGTCAACCAACACTAAAGTCAGAATTTTCAATACAAATGTTAAAACAGTTCTATTGTATGGGACGGAAACTTGGAGAACTACAAAAGCCATCATCCGGAAGATACAAGTGTTTATCAACAACGGTCTACGCAAAATACTTCGAATCCATTGGCCGGACACTATCAACGACAACCTACTGTGGGAGAGAACAAACTAGATCCCAATGGAGGAAGAAATCAGGAAGATTCTCTGGAAGTGGATAGGACACACATTGAGGAAAGCACGCAACTGCGTCACAAGACAAGCCTTCACATGGAATCCTGAAGGCCAAAAGAGGAGTGGAAGACCAAAGAACACATTACACCGAGAGATGGAGACAGATATGAGCAGAATGAACAACAATTGGATAGAGCTAGAAAGGAAGGCTCAGGACAGAGTGGGTTGTAGGATGCTGGTTGGTGGCCAATGCTCCATTGAGAGTAACAGGCGTAAGTATATTAAAGTAAAACTTAATAGGGATCTAATCGAAAACAATATTGTTCACTTATATATGCTGTTCTATTTTCAAAAATTGAACGTTAATGGTTGAATAGCAGTAAATTTAAACATAATCTCTTCTTGTAATAGAATGAAAATAGATGGATACTTTATCGAAATGATTGAGAAAATTGAATATTTAATGGTTGCTTGATCATAAGGCTAAAAAAAGGATAGAATTCTGATAACTTTCTAATAAGTAAACATCGATTTACTATATGTCGTAAGTATGTCATGTCTTTTGAACGAACCTATGATGAAAGGGATAGAATACAGAATAATATTTTAAATCAGTATGATATTTGTATGGTTTCTGTATAGTATGACACTATTGTTTTCATTAAGCGTAATATTTATTCAATATAACACGAAGAGTTCGATTATAGAAACCTAGTGTAGAATTCAACTTTTGTATTTCACTAGTTCATTTATGTATGATACTGGTGGATTACTCATAAAATACCAGTAAATCCTGTTGACAAATAAATGTGTTCAGTTGATGTTGTTATTGTCATATTGTTAGACGATGAATAAAGTCTTCATCTCCTATTAGTTTTTGTCTTAGTTTTCTTATTTGCTTCTTGAAAATTTCAGTGTTTTCTTATTTCTGCAGTTATAACAGTATCGGTTAAAAAAGGATATAAGATATACATTTAATTTTACAGAATATTGTAATGTCATAATCTGTACTTTTCATTGATGCAATTCTATCTTATATTTAATTTCCCCCCATAGTTCATAGCTTCATTCATCAGAGCTATAATAAAATTTTGTAAATTATTTACGCAATACGCAATATTTAACTTCCACAATTCAAGTCTATATCCTTTCACAAGATTTCGGCTTCTTATCCAATTTACTATTTCGTGATACAACAATCTAATTGAAATGATAGAGATCTATAGTTCAAGTAAATAAATTTAATGTTATTGAATTTTTTAAATAAGAAAATTTCATAATGGAGCTTTTATTGTTTACTTAGATAACAATATAGGCACCTACTTTATGTAGGAATCATCTTCTTAGCTATTCCATAAGAATCAAATCAGTTTGTTCTGTTTGTAAATTGATCAAACTACTTTATATATCATATGGAATAGATTATTTCATTTCCATAAATTTACAATACAAACTAATCCCATCTAGATAAATATTGGAAATCCAAGAACAATCGACATCTAATTTATTTTATTTGAGATTCCTCTTCTAATGATGTTCACCATTGAACCTATTGAAGATTGAGACAAGACCTTCAGGTCTCTTGACAAGATCGTAACCTTTAGATTACTGATTAACTTCAGTCAATTTGCAATAATCCATAACCAATATACTTTTTTTTATTCTAATAACCCCTTTCATGAATCAAAATAATAATCACTTTATTTGGTGCCATTATTATTATTATCAGGGGTGAAGCTGTCGATTTTAATAAAGAATGTATTTTTTAGTGAACTATAATGATAAAAAAACTATTCCAACAGTTATTGTTCCGATTAAAATTGTACTGGAATCCCTTTTAGATAATCTACAAATGTGTCTTAGAAACACTGGCCAATATCTCTGATATATTCATACATATAATAGACTGAACAGTTTGCCAATTTCAGTTGACTTACACTTGATATTTGAAAATTACATTGGTAGACAGAAGTATCGAACTGGCCATATTTGCACTGCTTTTGAAAGTCAATTAGTTAAAAACCACAAAGTGGGTGGATAGACTTGTTAAGAGAAGAAATTTTAAAACCATTATTCAAATAAAACAATGATCACTGTCCCGGTTCATTTATTATAAACTGACTACACATGTATGATTAAAATAATGTCTACATATCTATCTCTACCCATTATAACGTAAAGTTCTCTCGAACACAAACTCCTTATTTCCGTAGGAAACATTTTAACAAATCATTTAGCAATTTTCTTCAATTGCACATCAATATGTTACTAATAAAATGGTTCAGTAGTATTTTAAATTTCATTGTGTTTTGTGTTACCTGCTTTGGACATCAACCTCTAAACATTCTAAACCTAAAATTCATTTTCATTTTTGATGCAAAATAATTTTTTCATGATAAAATAAATATGTCCATTTCATAAATCCGAAATACATTTAGAATTTATCAAAATAAAAATAGCTCAGTGATAACATTTCAGACTCGAACCAAAGAAACCCAAGTTGGTTTCTTCCATGGGGTACGAATTGCTTTAGAACCGCCAGTACACCTCGTTATCGAGTACTAACCAACGCGATGCTCAAGTCCTAGGTTTCCTGATGACTGACTACCTCAAATCACCCAATGTGAACAGAATAGAATGACATAACAATTATTCCGTCTTTTTCACTTCATTGAGATGGTGGAGAAGATTTGTAGCTCAGGTGGATGATTTTGGTGGAGTTTTGTTTTCTGAGCTGGATGGTTTGGTCGTGGAGCTTTCATCGTCCTTCTGAACGACATCATCAGCACAAACTTCATGTCTATTTTGGTACTCAAAACAATTAACTTGAAACGGTCAACTCTCTTCTGTTTCTAATATTTTTAACTAAACGTCATTTACCAACTAAATGTCTTTTATCAGTCAACCAGGATTTCCTAAGTAATTTATGCTTTAAAAGTATTTCACAACATAAATACTCAAAATACATATTTTAATCATCTACAATCATGTTCAAGTAGTCAACAATAACAAAAATTCTAACAGAATAGTTACCTGCACAAAACAAACTTGAATTTGATTGTTTCGTTTGAAATTCAATTTCAATTCTTTCTTCAGTACTTGTAATTGGTCGATTTTTTAATTTATTTAAAATGAAACCATTACCAGAGAAAGCAGCAATTTTTGACGGTTGTCCTAGAGAAATAAATAACCTAGTAAAATTATAGTGAACAAAACACCAGTGGGAACAATCGAATGTATTTAACACCAAAATAACAGAGCATCTCACTAAAATCTGAGAACCATATAGTAAGTCGTTAATTTGCAAAATATCAATCCATCATATCAAACCTGACTGTTCCTGTTGAAAACATCAATCCATTGTCTCAAATTTCATTATTCCTACGTTTTCATATTAATTGCGTTTCGTTTCCGTTCTTTCCTCATCGACCTTCTAATGAAATACATTCTATGCCTGACCACCGTCATATACTACTTGTGTGGATATAAGTAAGCCAAACCACAAAATTATATTTTAATATATCCTTAGTTCATATGATAGATTATAAAGTGATTACTGAATTTTCAGTTTATAAAATGAGAAAATTAAACTGATCATTATGGATATTGTTCCAGAAAGTTTATGTAATTATTCATAACTTAGTATATATTACAATTAAATGATTGTCAATATTGATTATCCTCGAATCGTATAAGATACTCACTATCTGTATACCAAATACGTTAATTAATGTCTAAACGAATTTCAACAATTACAAACTTCACAGGTTGAAATCATGAGTCAGTTGAAGCTAGACCACCATTGAAAACCTGGAAGCACTGGACGGCCGTTTCGTCCTAGTATGGGACTCCTCAGCAGTGCGCATCCACGAACCCGCTCCCTGCGGGATTCGAACCCAGTTGAAGCTAGACCACCATTGAAAACCTGGAAGCACTGGACGGCCGTTTCGTCCTAGTATGGGACTCCTCAGCAGTGCGCATCCACGAACCCGCTCCCTGCGGGATTCGAACCCAGGACCTACTGGCTTCGCGCGCGAGCACTTAACCATTATATATAAGAACACCATGATATACAATGAGAATTTGGTTCAATTTTTATTCAATTTACTGAAATACAAAACAATTAATCATCGTAGACATTTAATAGTATTGATTTTTGTGATCTGGATGGCTTATTGACGACTTATTCTATGGTTGATCTATTGAATATCGTTGCTGTAAATTTTATACAGTAGTTACTTTTTTGAATTAGATTATAATGATGATGTTATTTTAAAAAAATTGCGGTTCATAAGTAAACCAGTCAGGTTAGAAAATATAACACTATCTAAAGATTATATGATCAGCTAGAAAACAATTGTAAGTCACCTGTTCATCAGTATCTGAGCAAGCTCATGTTAGATCTTTTGTTTTGATAGATAAAAATATTCAGTGCAGACACTGAGTCAGAATTCAATAACCAACAACTCCAAATTTTTATTCAGATTTCATGTTAGTAATTCACTGTCATTATTAGGTAACTGCTTTACTTCTATGAAACGATTCTATTTCAACAATCATGAGTTTAGTTTAAAAATACGAGAATCCATTTTATAGAGATTTATTTAACTTGAAAATAATTTTCTTAAGAAATTGACACTATTTAATGTGCTTAAAACAAGGTAATAATTAGTCAACCGTTTTACTCGTGTTAAGATGGTGTTAGTTGCGGATACCAACATATCAGTTTAGATAAATTCTTAAGAAAATCTAAATAGTTGTCCAAAGCTCCTTAATTTCCCTTTTTTTTCTCCTCTTGGTTTTAAACGAAATAAAAACCATGAGTGAAATAAGCTTTTCTAAATAAACAAAACTGCTAACGAATAATACCAGTCTATTGTTAATCTGCCTGTTCAAAGAGGATGACATACATTAATTTATTTTTCCAGTTGTCTTTTATTTGGCAAACTAAATTGTTTATCATATTTCATGAAAAACAACTGGAAGATTATTGGATTGTACAACGTATCATTTATTGAACATGATTTAATGCGACCTCCAACATGCTTACAACTCATCAGATAGATACACCACCATCTCAAGATTGATACACAGAATCATGATCAAACACAGTCATTTACGGTTCTCACAAACAACACATCATACACTCAACTACTCAGTTCACATAAACGTTAGTTCGTGCAATTACTATCAATTACAGTTCACTTGTAATGGTTTATAATTTCTCATTGTTGATATTGAGGAATCCATATATCACGAGAGTCTCAATCACGAAAAATTGATGAGTTGCAAATAGGATGAAACATACATCCTAGACTCAACTGTTAACCACTATTCATGTTTACTTGCATATTTGTGAATATGTGACAATATGGAGACAATCCATTCTATATGTATACAGGTCTAAATTGACTGACCAATCACTATCCCTAATATTAATGAACAGATACAATCGCTTACAAATTCACTATTACTTATTACTACAAGAAAACAGGCTTTATAAAGTTTAAATTGAGAATACTTATCGTTTGTTATCTAAATGTTATACATAAAACAGTTCTTTAATTTTTACAATATCCTTGAGCAAATGTTGAGATTTCAATAGAAATATTATTGAAATTTAATAGTTAAGTTCACGAGTCAATTGAAACTAGACCACTATGGAATACCTGGAAGCACTGGACAGCTGTTTCGTTCAAGTGCGGGACTCCTCAGCAGTGCTCATCCACGATCCCGACCAGCGGAATTTGAACCCAGAACCTATCGGTCTATTATATGTATATTTCATGTATATTAAAAACGGAAATATCAAACGTTTCTACTAAGAACTTAACTTTTAGAATTAGAACTGTATTGTAACTAACAATGGAATCTACCAATTCCATTTTATTTTATTTATAACTTATCAACTGAATACTTCCGAATTTCAATGTTGATTTTTCATATTTGAACTTCAATTTATTACATCTTACTTTAAATACCAACACATCTATTGTACTAATCAAAAAGAAAAGTCCAACTAGACAAAATTTACAATTAACCTTAGAAACTAATTATCAATTATTTAATGTAGATCAGGCAAAATTGTAGAAATGGAGAATTTAAACACAAAAATTATTTTCTTTAAAAATATGTCTCTCTATATAAATCGTTTTACAAACTTTTGTCGTGCAAATTAGACTTTTTGTGTTTTTTTAAAAAAAATAAACGTTCAAGTGGCTTTCAAACGTAGAATAATGCCTTCCGGGAAAAAGCGAAACACTTATCTTACTGTATACATATATATATATTTTAATAAGAATAATAATAGTAATAATATAAATTTCTAACATGAGAATGATAGATGCATATTCATCATAATTATGAGTTACTCATAATGAATTATACATACTTTTTCAGAAGGGGGTTTGTGGAGATTGTAGTAATTTCAATAGTTGAGATCATGAGTTAATTGAAACTAGACCACTATGGAATACCTGGAAGCAATGGATGGTCGTTTCGTTCTATTGTGGGATATTTTGAATTTTATCTTAACTGGAAATTATCATTGAAATAATTATTAGGTCTATTGATAATCAACGATGTATTCAGAGTTCTATTTGGTTTATAGATAATGATCAATAAAATCTGTTACTGAATATTATGATCTTTAATATTGTGATTACTATTGTAATAGATTAGATAAAAGAAATTGATAAATATGATATAGGTCTATACTCAGTGATTAATCAATTGTATATACATTTCGGTTCAATAGAAGGTCATTTGCATTCCGTATAGCTCAGTGATTAAGTCATTGACTGTGAATCTAGGTGATATGGGCTCAGATTCACTAGGTAGTATCAGTCTCCTCAAGATTGCAGATACATTTTGTTGACTAGTAAAAAAATAAGAGAAAACTAGATTCAGTAGTGTTTTCTGTTGACTACCTTCAACCATCACATCAAATCTAAACATATTATAGAAGATAATGAGTCGTAAATGACTGTGTTTGATTGTGATTGTGTGTATCGATCTTGAGATGGTAGTGTATCTATCTGATGAAATCTAAGCATGTTGGAGGTCAGATTCTACATTTTATTACTATTCACCACACGTGTATTCAATAGTAATAACTTTTGCTTTTTTTTTGTCGATCAGTTAGTAAATTTAATTGGAGATTATCTCGTGCAAATATCCATTGTTACAACAAATCTCACCTTACTATGCATTCTGGTAAATAATATTGATAATAATTGTGAAAATAATTTTCCAACAGAGACTGATCTCTATTTGTTTTCATCTGTTAACATTTTGTGTCCACTTTTTCTCCTAACAACGTCTATTTACTTTATATGCTATATTTGATGTACTAAATTCAATCTATTCATCGTACATTTTTCCAAACAATATATAAAGATGAGGCAAAGTATTCCAACCACTATGTTTATTAAACCTGAATTTACTAATAATTATCTTTTTGATAGGTTGTAAACTTCTTAAGTTGTGAATTAGTTAAAACAAACTATAACCAGAAACATGTATAGAAGTATTTATCTAGTTAGAAAATAGATACTCTGAATCTCACTAAATCTTTATATCCAACTGTACGATTATGATTTATTTATAGTCATATAACTGTTTCCGAATACTTCCTTTAATACAAATAACTATTCACTATATCCTAGCATGTTTGATACTAACAGGTCGAATTTATGTATACTAACGTTTTGAATCGACGTAATTTCCGTAAGTTTCCTGTCATTTTACGTCTAGATAAGCTAGAATAGAATCTATTCAATGTTGTATACTCTACATCAGTACAATTTAATCACTGATTCTATTTTATGTAAGCATGACAAAGTTAAACGGTTTTTGGTCAAATACTTATATTTATCTTTTACCCATCTCCAAGTTTATGTGATAATCTTTAAAATTACTAGAAAAATTTAAAATAAAATCTACTTACATTTTAGATCAATTATCAATTATTTTTTGAAGTAGGCAGGTAGGTATTTTAAGAAAAATAATAATAATCAACAGCCAACAAAGACAATCGTGCATCATTTTTTTCAAAATTTTCTCAACCTTCAAATTTTCATGATTGTTAAGAATTAAAAGTTAACCGGAATAAAATTAAATCAAGCATACAATCACATATTGTCCTTTTGCCAACTTGGATCATTTATGGAGTAGGCGAGAAATCCGTCTACCAACCAACGGACGAGTTTACTGCGCAGCAGTTCGTTCTGTCCTACTTTATGGTAGTGAAACATGGCCGGTAAGAGTAGGGGGTATTCGTAGGTTACTAGTATTCGATCATAGGTGTCTTCGAAACATTGCTCGTATATCCTGGGACTATCGAGTAAGTAACGCAGTTGTTAAGAAACGGGTACTAGGTAAGGATGGCAAATCGATTGGTGAAGTCGTGAAACTTCATCAGTTGAGATGCCTGGGACATGTGTTACGTATGCTCAACCACCAACTGCCTCGATGTGCGATGTTTTGTTGTATAGGAGTAGATTGGAAGAAAGCTAGGGTCGGCTAGACCAAAACATGGCACAAGTCCATGAAGTCACTGACAAGTAGACTGAATCATATTGGTAGGTGTAGACTACCTGGTTGGAGACCGCGAGATGATAGCAACCGATGGTTAGAGACCCTGAATGACATGGCTCAAAATCGTTTGCAATGGCGCAGGTGCATCCACTCTTTGTGTTCTCCCAAATTTTAATCTCCTGATTCCTCCTTGTCTCTTCTTTCTCTTCCCAAATTTATTTCACTGTATTATACTCTTTAAATAACATCTTTCCGATGACTGCTTATACTCTTACTACTTCTACCACCACTGGATTTGAATCGACAACTGCATCTCTGTACTAATATGGTATAGCAACTCGAACTGATGTAAGTACGTGCAAAGTTCTACCTTGTTGCTGACTGACTAACCTTTAAAACAATTATTTTAATATGAAAAAAAGAAACTACATTGTATCAATGAATTTACTTCATAGAACTATATAATTAATGAATAATCAATTAGTTCTTTATTCCATTGACTTTATCGCATCAACTGTGATTCATTTTCTTTTTTTATTTAGGAGGAGAAGAAGGAGCAAAAACTAAAGAAGAAAAAACTCATTGAAAAGAAATGGAATAACAAATTTAAGTTCACACAAAAAGAAAAATATCAAGTTTACTTAGTTTATTTATTTGTTTGTCATATTCTTTTCATTTCATTTCAGTTAAGTATGAATGATTGAATATATATTTCTCATAAATGGTACTTTATCAAATGTTTACCGGTTTATCTTATTTCATACATTCATGGACTTTAATTCATGTCTTTATCTTAACATATTCATAGTACACTGTATCTATCTATCTATCTATATATATCCAGATGACTTGAAATAAATCGTATAAATTTTAACACACTTATCTTATCATCTAATGAATATTAAATCTTTATTTTAATAATAAATTATAATGTAGAAAGTTTTTTCTTAACTTTCTTATATTCTATAGATCGTTCCGTTCTATTTCAATCATAACTATTTTAACATAAATCATATTCTTATCATGATTAACATCATCATCAGTTTAATCATTTTAATTTGAATGATTAATTTTAGTTTGAATTTATTATTTGTCTAATGATTAAATATTATTTGATAGGGATTTCTTGTGGAGATTGTAATAGTTTAATAATTGAAATCATGAGTCAATTGAAGGTAGACTATTATAGAAAAGTTGGAAGCATTGAACAGTCATTTCGTCAAAGTGTATGACTCCTCAGCAGTGCACATCCTTGATCTCGTTCGCAGTATTCAAACCTAGGATTTATCGGTCTTGCGTGAGAGCGCTTAATCTCTAGATCACTGAGTTGGTATTCAGAGGTTTTAATGTCTAACATCAACCAATCCACGAAATTGAACCATTGTCCACTATTATCTTCAGTGAGTTACAATCTTACAACAGACC